TGTGACCTTGAAATTGACCTTTGACCTACTTTTCACCATGAGTTGAACTTTATGGCACATTATGGTAACTCCAAAATTATAACATTTAGTCCCTTACATCTCCAAAACTGGCAGAGATAGGTCCAGAGTTTCTATTGAACTTGAATAGGAAGTCATATACTAGCAATCAAAATGTGACCTTAAAATTGACCTTTGACCTACTTATTATCATGAACTGAACTCTGCTTATTTCTTTCTCTTTTAACTCCAAACCTGGCAGAGATGGGTCCATAGTTATATTGAAGTTGGATAGGAAGTCATATACTGGCAATTTACTGTGACCTTGAAATTGACCTTTGACCTACCTTACGATGAACTAAACTTTGATTGTACCATTTTTAGTTATATATATTTGTTGCATATTTTGAAAATTCTTGTTGATTGCATTTTTACAGCTTGTCAAGCACAAGACTGGTGGCTGTGTCCCTTATTTTGTGTGTGGGGGGGTCTATACGAATGCGCTTACTCCAGCTGGTGGTACAATATTCGGAGGCGGTATCGCCTCTCTGATCCTCTAGTTTTAAAATGGTATAAAATATTCCATGTGTGTATATTTTGATCCTTTTCTCAATGCTTTAAGCATTAAGTGAATGACAAATTTGCTTTCATCTTGGCCTTTCATTTGTAGTGGGTCTGTAAATGTGTGAAATAGGAAAGATGTAATTGATATAGATCTTCAAATCAGATAAATAAATGCAGTTTTTAGATTTAACACTGAAATACCAAAATAAGTCCACTTTGTTGATGGGGTCTGAAAACTGAAAACTGCATAACTGTATTTTACAGCAAGAGATAGCTGACACTTTTTTTTCATTACTTAAAAACTTATAAACACAAATATGACTATATGCTGTTAAAAATCTTAGTGTTTATTGTTTACTATTGTATACATTAAAAAACAGGTTTAAAAAAGTTTGTTTTACATCATATAACCATACAAAAAGATTACAAAATACATTGCACGTGATATTTGCATTTGAAAGTTATTTTTGATCCAAAATAATAATAATAATAGATAATGAATGATATTAAGTATGTATAGTTATCAGCCCTTTTATTACAAAAAAGTCAATTCTGAGAATAAGGCACTTGTTACTTTCATGGCCCCTGATATCACATTACACTACCTGCTGACATCGCTGGACTTCTTCTTTTTATAGTTTTCTTTCATTTTTTTTTTCATGATTCTGTTTATTGTCCTCATGTTTTTTAATCCGTGGAATCCCTTGCAAGTGGGTTAACTGTGTGCAAGCCCAGTTCATCTTCAATTACTCTGACATTCTTGTAAAGATTATAATTACAGTATTTACAAATTCTTTCTTGCTGAGAAAATCCCTTATCTCTGCCATCTTCAATCTCTTGAGTCATAATTTAGAGAAAGCATTGCTGTGTGAAGGTCTGTCAACATTTCTTAAACATAATTCTAGTTAAAAATTAAATTTAAAAATTCTATACATTTGAAATGTGTTTGATAAGTTCAATTCTTCTGCCCATTGTTGTACACAGATCTTTAGCCTATCCACAAATGTTTTCAAAAATAAAAATTAATCCCCTACACTTTGGTTTGTAGTGCACTATCTATCTGCTCTCTGCAATATTCAAACTTTTACAGCCCACAGTGCCTGAAAATATAGATCATGACTGTCACTGGTAAATTTGAACTAATGATAATCCTTTCTTCTTCATGTTGTGTTTTTATCCATGTTTTTCTAACAGCCACTGAATTCAGTGCTGCTGATCATTGATGGTCTTTCGTCAAGGTAATCTTTCAACTCCTTTTTTTTTTTTTTTTTGGCTCCTAAACTTTTTCATTACTTCACCTAAAGTTCCTAGTAAAATTTGCACTTTCTCTGGATTCATCCTCCATATCATCTCAGGTGCAGTTAAAATCATGTGTTGTCAGCTCCTTGTCCATTGCCTGGATGATAAAAAGACTGATTTTTGCATTTTCAAGATGTAGAATTGCAAATTTTTGTTTCACGTCATTTCATTCATTTGTCTGACCCATTGAAAGCATTTTATCCAGACCCATTTTTGCAATCAGCTATGTGAATTTTTATCGGTAAGAGTTAAACATATGCAAACACATATGGTGATTATCAATTACAAAATTTCTTTTATTTTCTTACAAAGTAAGGGGGGGTGCACTTTCTGCCTTTACTTGAACTTAATGCTCAGAGTTACTAATTATTGTGTTGTTTCCCAGTTAGCATACAATCTCCAAAGTCTGGTGACATTTCTGTTGGTGGACCTATTGATAGTGGCATTACAACACTGGCGGTTCTTGCCTCCTTTGCTGATAGGTAAGCAAGTGCCACCTTCATTTTTGACCTCGGGCAACTTCCTTCCCATTGTGTGATACACTCAGCCATGGTGCCATGTACCAGTCTTATCCACACATCACTTAAAGGGGCCATTCAGAATCAGTTGGTGCACACTAACTAATTCTTACTAACTCCAACAAGACTCGCAGAGTGCAATCAGATGAAAGGGACACTCCATGGGACTTTCCGGTATAATTAATATTTATAAATTCTCTCCACATTTTAAAAAATCCCTCACGGTCATATTTGTCTTGTGAAGCTTCTTATATTTCCCAATTCAGACTCAAAAGACAATAAAATCCTTTAAATAAAAGTTTATCTGAGGCATACCTCATCATCTTTTAAGCCTCTTTGGCCAGTCATTTTAAACTAATATCAAATTAAGAATGGAATAAAACATTGAATCTAAGTGCACTAATGGGTTGTGTCATTATTCATGAGTAGAAGAAAATTGCTCTTTGCCCCAGGAAATTTCATTTTGCCGGGAAAATCCCATGGAGTTGGCCTTTAACAGACTAGCACACTCCTATTGTTTCTACAGTACTCAATTAATAACCAACTTCTGTTTATTCTACTCAATGCCAGGAGGAGACGTGTAAGTCTGTTACTCTAACTGCATTCAGCAAGAGTCCCTGAGGAGTCATTCTGAATGGCCCTGAACATATTTGATTATACTATGATATCATAGGATAATGATTTGAACTGTTGGACAATCAATATCAATTTTAGAAGTTTTTATGAACAGTTCTGTCTTACTTATAGTTGTGGCTTTAGAGGAGTCATTCTGAATGGCCCTGAACATATTTGATTATACTATGATATCATAGGATAATGATTTGAACTGTTGGACAATCAATATCAATTTTAGAAGTTTTTATGAACAGTTCTGTCTTACTTATAGTTGTGGCTTTAGACACCAAATAAATGTTAGCAAAGTGTTCAACCTTTCCATTGCTGCTTTTGTAAGTCAGTATTTTGTTGAATCCAAACTACAGCATTCAAGCTGATTTACACATGTTCAAGAAAAAATGGTTTTATGTCATGTTTGGTTTCTGTTTCAGATCCCCACATGGTGCAGCACAAAGTTGGCGTGTCTGATCTCATCAATGCAATCAACAGGAATGCACTTATGTACTTTCTCTTAGCCAATATCTTCACAGGGCTTGTGAACATTTTCATGGAAACCATTTATGCTCCTCCCACTACTTCATTTTGGGTGCTGGCAGCTTACTTGGCTATCCTGTCAGGAGTGTCATTAGTTTTACACAAACTGAATATTAATACAAAGATTTGGTGAAATATGCATTATGCTAATTAATATTTAGTAAATTTGATATCAATACTACTTGATGTTATGTGTTAAAAGGGAATTTCTATAATTTTACATCTTGCTTAATTTATATTGCCAGTTGCATATGATTCTTTTACCTACTTTTTTTTATAGAAACCAATTTCAATTATTTCCTTAGGTATCTTTTAAAATCTCCCAATTTCAGATTGATCCATTAAAATGCATGTCTTTTGCATATATTCTTCTGTATCAGTAGTGTGATAATATATCCCCAAAAATATTTTTTGTGTGTTTGGATTGTTATCACTATCTAAGATTGTTAAACTCGTTGGATATTTGGATATTGCAAAAATGAACTTCTGACTTGGAAAAGAATACAACATTACTGTGCACCAATCAAGAATTATAAGTGTTTATGGCTGGCTGATTATGTTGTTAAGAGGATCTTATTTGTTCTAAGAATATTTTCTTAATGGAAAGTCAGCAAATTTAAAGTAAATATTTTATTAATTTCTATTTTCTAGATGATTACATTTTCATTTCTTGTCCAGTATCAGCTTTTGCCATTCATTCTAAAAAATTAACTCTGGTTTTGAATTTTATCAGACTAAAATTGATTATTAAATTTCAACATTCCACAGTGTGTAAATGTGTTAGTTGTGAGGCATTTGATCTTTTTACCACTTTAGAGGTAGAACTGTTTCACCAAGTGCAAACGTGACACAGCGAATTTCATTTTACAAGTCAGAATTGTCGTTATGTTTATTCTAATCGCGGTTTGTATCTGTAATAAAAGGAAAGAATGGTTGGAGATGCCGGGGATTGAACCCGGGGCCTCACACATGCAAAGCGTGCGCTCTACCACTGAGCTACATCCCCGTAGATGGTCACTTCTGCTACATAACTTGCATAAAGAATATAACATCATTTTACTACTATCTGTTTTTTTTCTGCATTTTTACAAGATATAACACATTTTTTATCACCGCTCTTATATAAGTTGCAGAAATTTGTTAACAGTGCAGACAAAGACGTGAGATACATCTTCAGAGAAAAGGAACATTTTTAAAAAACTGGTACTTTATGAAAAGATTTCTGAAAACGATTTGAAGTATTTTTTCTTGTCATCTTGAATCTGCCCTGATAATTTCGCCCTTTGGACAGATGACAACACATTTTGATTGGAATGAAAAATGCTTGCTGCTGCAGTAGGCCCTATACGCCATTCTCACCTAGACGAATAAAATGTTTTGTTCGTCCAAATAGTACAGTAGCATGAAAATGAAATGAAGAGATAATATGAAATATGCCAAATATATTATAAACTAAAAACAAGTATTCATTATCCTAACTCAATTCGAGCAGAAGAGAACCCTTGCTAGCACTAACAGGTACGGTACTGTAATTCGCTAGCACGAAATCCGTGCGTTAGCACTCCTACCAGTATATGGAAGAAAAAATGTTGCTTAGGTTTAAGGTTGTGGTTTTCAACTTGTTCATCATAAGATTGTCGCTTTCGTACATCTAGAGAAATGACAACTGTGTTGAAGTCCAATAATATTTGTCCCTACTAGTGTGTGGTGAATACAGTACGCAATTTTTAAAGTTCAAGTAGCAGTCTTTTAACTCAGTGTCACTTAAACATATAACATTTTATTATCAATATAATATTCTTAGGGCTGTATTCCCAGAGCTTTTAGATCGATCTATCCCCGCAGGGGAGTCTCACTAGATTACTGTCAGATAATCCGGCTTTAAATGTCTGTCCCGCCTACTACAAGCTTTCGTGTCTGCTCGGCTGACAGCTATTTAGCGTGAACCCCCAGGGAGTAAGGTCGATCTAAAGTAGATCGATCTAATCTCTGGAAATGGGGTCTAACATTCTATGTACAACTTCAACTCACTGGGTTGCAATCTTGATAAATTATTATTATTATTATTATTATTATTATTATTATTATTATTATTAGCCAGGTACCAGTAAGAGCCACGTTTCTGTTGAAACTCCTTGTAGTCTAGATGACTGGTGCAAAAATTGCTCAAAATGTGGAAAAAGCATGAAACTTGGCACAAATGTTCTTTGGACTATGCTGATCATTTTCAAGGGCAGTGCCCAAAATTTCAAAGCGTTGCCTAGCAACTGTTGCTAAGGAAGTGATTTACCTTAGTAACAAACTAATTGGACCTTTCTTGTTCAGTTTAAATGATTTAAAAAGGCTTTTAATAATGTTTCAAACCATCAGAACTATCACTATACTATTTTAAGACATGAAAAACCCAAGTAAACCATTGCAACAGTTGCTAGGCAGCATATTACCCTAGCAACAAGTATTTAACATTATATATTTAATAATATATATTTAATAATATATATGCANATGTAGTCTAGATGACTGGTGCAAAAATTGCTCAAAAGGTGGAAAAAGCATGAAACTTGGCACAAATGTACTTTGGACTATGCTGATCATTTTCAAGGGCAGTGCCCAAAATTTCAAAGCGTTGCTTAGCAACCGTTGCTAAGGAAGTGATTTACCTTAGTAACAAGCTAATTGGACCTTCCTTGTTCAGTTTAAATTATTTAAATAGGCTTTTAATAATGTTTCAAGCCATCAGAACTATCACTATACTATTTTAAGACATTAAAAACCCAAGTAAACCATTGCAACAGTTGCTAGGCAACATTTTACCCTAGCAACAAGTATTTTACATTATATATTTAATAATATACATTTAATTATATATATACAGATATCTCTGTAGCATTTTACATACCTTCCAGTTCCTTCCCATCTTTCTGTTCCCATTCTACATATACTAACATGTTTCTTAATTATTAAGATAGGTACATATAAATAGTGTATGCTTGCACAAACCCAAATACAAATATCTCCATTCTTTCAATGACCACACCTAAATTATCTTTAGCGGGGCAAATGATGCACATCCAAACATTTTTACATGTGGACAATCCCCAAAAACGTACAGAATATTTTCTGTAGCAGTATTGCAAAATTCTCAAATTCATAAGATAAGCATAAGAATTGAATATTCTATGATTTATTCTGAATTGGAGCAACTTCATTTTCTTGTGATCTGTTTCTTAAATGTTAGTTCCCAATTATCAGTACTCAAGGTTTTTTAAAATATGTCTGCCATTCACCCACACCTTTATCTGGTGATATTTTATGGTTTTGGAGGATTTTTTTGCGAAAAAATATCTGGATGGTTGGGTCACTTGTTTAATTGAGTCAATTATTTCTTGGAATGCTATGAGTTATTTCCTTCCATGGGAAGAGATAGCCATTCAGATGGTAAGCTCTTCTGGATGCTGAATTAGCCCAGAAAGTTAGTGTTAAGGTTGATTTTTTGTTGAGTTCCTCTAGACAGATGGGATTTCAAATGTCATTTATAATATCATTGATGTAAAAAAAACATTTTACACCATCTTTTATGGAAAATAGTTTTTCGGTCTCCTTTCAATTTTTGAGTTTTGACATAATGGTTGTGATAGGATTTTATCTGGGATTAAATTGAAATTTTCCTGAATTTCACTCAAAGAACCAATAATCTTTGCCAAAAGGGATAAGAAGTTGCTTTTAGTATTTTTAATCTACCTTTCGTTACTACAGATTCCTGACATTTCGCCAAGAAAAACGCTCTCCACTTACTCTTATTTTCTTCATAAAGAAGTCTTTTAAGACATGTAAAGTTTAGGGCCTTGGTAAAATTTTTATTTGTGGTACCTTTTACCGTCCATTTTTGTAATCAGACGCCATCCTTTCTTTTGTATCTTTTCCCATTCCTGATAAAGTTAAATATGCTATGCATTGAGAGAGGGGGGGGGGGGCTGCTAGGAGAGTTTATACATGCACTACGGAAGATGAGAAATACAAAAGGTTTAACCACTGTTGACTTTCCTATTATTGAAAGGTTTCTCAGAGACCAGATTTCCAAGATATTTTTCATTTTGTTCAAAATTTTTCTAAAAAGTTTTTTCACATTGTTATTTGTCAGTTTCTATTCTCTACCAAGTAACTTAAATACACCTGCATGGTTCTATTTTAATTCTTTTTGTTAATCAATGAAGTTCAAAAGTTTCTGTTCACACCCAAAGGCTGTTAGATGCCATATCTTACTTCCACCAAGGCTGCTTTACAACAATATAAGAATACTCTTGCGAGATGAACATATCTGAATCAGCACTACGGTGCCGTGTCATCAGATACCATGTGCTCACTCTGGTTGGACTTGTGCGGAACAGTGGACCCTTGTGGACATATTTGCCAGAAGCTATTGACCTGCCCAGAGTTGCTTCAGTGTGCATGTAGGTGCAGATGTAGAGGCTAACAATGTGCAAGGGCAAAATGCACTGTACATTGCACATACAAGGGAGAATTTAACGTCTTAACTATTGCAAAGTTTTATAAAGAGTCGCAAGGTAATAAAAGCATGGAAATGGCTGGTTACTAACTTTGAACATGCTGACTTAAGTATCTACACTGGCAATGTTTTTGATCAGATGTGTGTAAACATCACACAATTGTTTCAACTTATTGGATTAAAAGTATGAACATCTTGCTCGAAAGTGTAGTTCTTAGCTAGAATTATAGATTTGCCTTACTTAATAGACTAACGCAACTTTAAATGCTTGTTGCTAGGGTAATATGCTGCCTAGCAATCGTGACTAAGGTTAATTTGGGTTTTAATTGCCTTAAAATAGTCTAGTGATAGTTCTGATGCCCTTAAACATAGTTATTAGCATTTCTAAACCATTTAAACTGGACAAGAAAGGTCTTATTAGCTTGTTACTAAGGAAATTCGCTTCCATAGCGACGGTTGCTAAGCAACGCTTTGAAATTTTGGGCACTGCCCTTGAAAATGATCAGCATAGACCAAAGAACATTTGTGCCAAGTTTCATGCTTTTTCCACATTTTGAGCAATTTGGCCAAAATATAGCACCAGTCATCCAGACTAATGGGTAAGTTTGGAAATTAATAACGATTTTACAATCGTGGTTTTACCTATTGGGCTAAGGATGCGTTTTTTCCATTGTTTAATCTGACTTTGTACTTTTGTCATTTGCTTTTGATAATTCAGATCAATCATGTCACTTAACTCTACTGAAAAAGTTATGCCTAACAGCTCAAATATTTGTACCCCCCAATAAAGTTTCCATCTGGAATGATGGTACACATCTTTACTATATTTTTTGGAACCTATCCATATTACTTTAGTTTTTGAGGCATTGATGTGTAGTCCAGATAATTTTGCAAAGTATTCAAGGGTTTCCAGGGAATGGAATAAAGATTGTTTCGATCCTTTTAATGTAAGTGAAATGTCATCTGCATATTGTAAAATCTTATTCTCGATTCCATTAATTGATATTCCTTTTATAAATGTGTTGCTCTTTATCAGTATTGACAGCATTTCAGCACTCAATATAAATAAATAAGGGGCTACTGGGTCACCTTGTCGACAACCTCTTTGGATAGAAAACGGTTTCGACAGGAAACCACATTGTAGAACGGATGCTGTAATGTTAGTGTTTAGTATGTTTACCCATGTTATTAGATTTCTGCCAAAGCCGAAAATGTTAAGAACTTTATGGATGAAGGACCAAGCTAAGGAATCAAAAGCTTTTTCGAAGTCAATCAACATTAGAAGGCCAGGAATCTGTCTATTCTCAGTACAGTCCATCAGATCACATATTGCTCGTATGTTATCACCCAAGCANGCTCAAAAATGTGTACCCCCCAATAAAGTTTCCATCTGGAATGATGGTACACATCTTTACTATATTTTTTGGAACCTATCCATATTACTTTAGTTTTTGAGGCATTGATGTGTAGTCCAGATAATTTTGCAAAGTATTCAAGGGTTTCCAAGGAATTGAATAAAGATTCTTTCGATCCATCTAATGTAAGTGAAGTGTCCACTTTGCATTTTTGCTAGAATTGATGTGATTTAAGCTATTTGATAGTGTGACGGTCATGTAAATATTTGTGTATCTGTAATGAAGTGTGTGTAAAATTTGGCAAACATTTCAATTCAGGACAATTCTTATATTATTTCTTCATCTGTCATATGACAGAATTGATCCTTGTCAAAAAAGGTTTGCCTTTCTTAAAATGCAATTCATGGTGACATAGGTGGTTGAATGACAAAGTTGATGCCTCTTTCATTTTGATAAATTTGGTATCTCTTTCATTTTAGAGAAACAGTAGATCTTTGTCAGAAAGCAGAGAAGGCTGGTGTTTCTTGGATTGCTGTCCATGGTCGCACAGTGGACCAGAGGTGTGAACCAGTCAATGTGGAAGCCTTGCGACTAGTGACAGACTCTTTAACTGTGCCTGTGATTGCCAATGGTGACATAAGGAGTGTGGAAGATGCGAAGAGAATACAAGAGGTGACTGGTGTTAATGGTACGTCCTTATTGTTTTTCTGTAAAGCCAAACCCACATGGCCTGGGTATATGAAGTTGCTACATTTCACCAGGGCCCGCAACTTGAAAGCATTGTGCATTGCGACCGAGCGCAAGTGTCTCGATTTCATTACTCACCCCATATAACACACTGTAGCCTCTATGTGATATCATTATTTGCAATGCGCGATGCTTTGGAGTTACGGGGCCCAGGTTTGCTAAATGCTATGGTTCTTAATGGCTGAAAAAATTGGAAAACATAAATGAAAAGCTAACATTTATATGAGTTAGCTTAAAAGGTAGAAAAAAGAATTATTTTTCACCATTCATTGACCGTTAAAATTTTAAAATTTTGTCTGAATTGGTTAATTAGCTAGAATGACCTTCTCTGGCTGCATTCAGAACAACAGACTAACTTGTCCACAGATCAAATATGGCTACCCATGTCAAAAGCTTGCTGTCTAATCCCCTATGCTGAAAAGATACCCCGCAGGGATTACGCAGCAAGCATTCAAGAGGGTCAACCACATTGGATTCGTGGACTAGTTAGTCTGCTTTTGTGAATGCGGCCTCTGATTTTAACCTGAACCAGACCACTTGCAGAATTTCTCCTGTTTTATCTTTAGGTGTAATGGCAGCCAGAGGTATATTACAGAATCCAGCAATGTATGCAGGATATGATGCCACACCAGTACAATGTGTCAGAGACTGGGTGAGTCTAAGTTAGATTTAGAATTTCCTTTAGTAAGGAGGTCTTGCAAATGTCTAACAATGAATATGCGCTATAAGAATATTCGCATTTCATAGCCATAGTTTTGCAAACTGCAATTGGTGGACAAATATGAAGTTAACAGAGGTGGGTTACTGCCAAATGTAAAATGGTGTCCACGGTGTTAAAAACATCTTGCTCAGTTCAAAATGGTGAAAAATGTTGTCCAGGGTGATGAAAAACGCTTGCTCAGTTCAAAATGATTTTATCGCCATTTACATTTTAAATAATTGGCTGTGAAAACAATCAAATGAACAATTGAGTGTTTATCTAACATGAAATCGTGATTAAACATCCATGTATTAATATGAATGAACTCAATTTGTACATTAATTTTTTGATGACTATGTAAAACGAGGTAATGATAAGTATAAAATGATGAAATACTTCACATTTCATACTTTGTATTCATACTTAAGCAAACCTCTTTTAAATCAAGAATTCTTCCATTATATGAAGAGCTGGCTTTATCTTGGTTCTGATTTTAATTATATTACCAATTTTACAGTTTATGAATGCTTCAGTATTTCTTCCTTTCAAAAATCTAGTGATAAACGTGGTGCTTAAACTTCTACATTGGCAGGAAAATATTATACTATAAGATGAACTAAATACACCATAATAAAAATTTATAGATATAATAAAATTTTCAAATTTTCTTCTTTTTAAATAGTTTTCCATTCTATTAATAGATGGATTTCATACTTTGTATTTATTCTTGGGCAATTTGCAAAAACTCTTCTAAATCGAGAATTCTTTAGCATTCTTCCATAATACCAAGAACTGACTTTATCTTGGTCCTGATTTTAATAATATTACCTCTCAGTTTAACAGTTTTTATTAGTGTTTCAGTATTTCTTCCTTTCAAAGATATAGTGATGAACATGGTGCTTAAATTTCTGCATTTGCATGAAAATATTAAACTATTATAAGATGAACTTCACTACAGTAAAATTATATATATATAACAAAATTTTAAAAAAATTATCTCATTCTATTAATAAATGGATCATTGTATGGCATAGGTCAGACATGCTGAAAACTTTTCAGAATGGTCGGACATTTAGACTGGCAGTAATGAAAAATTTGCCAGACCGAATGGATTTTTGTTGGACCGAAAATCACTCTATACGTTTGAGACAGATACTACCAGTACGATTAGGTAGCTTACTTTGTATTTGAATGTGATAGTTTTGAAATGGAAGGGAAAAATGCTTTGGGTTTTATATAATTTTATTAGTGAAGTATGTCGAAAGATGACTGTAAATTCAAATGCGGTTCTTAAAACTCTTGTCGGTCCTTTGGACCAACCAAGTCCAATTTTCTACTGGTCCAGACAAATTTTCCCGGGCATGACCGATCGGACCGACAGTTTCAGCATGTCTGCATAGGTGACTACATGTATGAATAAATGAAATGAAAATGCAGAGTTTATAAAATGCAGGTTTATAAAATTGGTGGTTTCCTTGACATAGGTCAATCATCAGTGATGTCATTTGCTGCACTTTTTTTTTTTGCTATTTTACTCTATAGTACCCTTCAGTGTGAAATGAAATAGGCTGTAATTAAAAGGTGATATTAAACAGTTATGCTTATATTACACATAATACTTGCATCACTAACATGACTCAGATAGTCATTTTTTTTTTGTGGAATGAGCCATATAAACTGGAGTTGAAAACAGCATTGTAATGGCTTTTTTATTCAATTGTTTTCTTATTTCAGTTGGATATAGCATTATCGCAAGGTTTATCCTTCACAACCTTTCACCATCATCTGATGTACATGCTGGAGAAAGTCATGTCAAGGTCAGAAAGACGATTGTTCAATTCGTTGTCCAGCATAACTGCAGTCCTGGATTATCTAAGGGAATATTATGGGATAGGATGATACTTAAATGCTGGTACATCATAGGATATAATTAAGCAATGTGTAGGTGGTAAAAAAACAGCGCCGAAACATGGCTAAACTGCTGACGTTGGAGTATTGGAGATTCCTTTACTTGGCAGAATATATGATGGGCATTCTTGGAGTGGATGAAGTTTTTGGCACATACATTGTACCAAGGAATGAACAGTATTTGATAATACTGAGTTTAATGATCAGAAAAACCTACAACTGATGTAAATTGAGTAGTTGGGAAAAAGTGCAGTTTAGTTACAGTAACAGGTACACCATAAGAGTTTCTTAAAGTCAGTATGACAAATTAAAAAAAAAATTAAGCAAGGTGTGATGTGTCCTTGCATCACGACAGTTACTACCGGTAGTAACGGAAGTCTTCTGGATTTATCCATTAAGTCTGAATATTTGCAATTTGTGTTTATGCCCCCTTTGGCGTTTGTATTTTGTTTTCAGGATTTTCTTAAAAGGTCCATTTTCATCCCTGAGTTGAGCTGGACAATTGTGGGTAAAATTAGGGTGGTGGTATGGAGGGTGGCTCTGTTTAGGTGACTCTCTTACAACATAGCCAAGCTATTAATTAACTGTATTTAATAAAAAGGACCTGGCTCAGTTGCACATAACCTACTACTCTGCTCCTGTTATCCTGTCTGAAGAGAGTGGCAAAGTGATATTCACAGGATAAAGTAATGGAGGTGAAAAGACTTGAATTCAGTAAGTTTGATCTTTAAAAAAAAAGATGGATTTTAAGCTAAATTTATGTGTACTCTGATTTGTAATGTTATTCCGAAGCNCAAATTGAACTTTGTCAGTTTCTATTCTCTACCAAGTAACTCAAATGCATGGTTCTATTTTAATTCTTTTTGTTAATCAATGAAGTTCAAAAGTTTCTGTTCACACCCAAAGGCCGTTAGATGCCATATCTTACTTCCACCAAGGCTGCTCTACAACAATATAAGAGTATTCTTGCGAGATGAACATATCTGAATCAGCACTACAATGCCATGTCATCAGATACCATGTGCTCACTCTGGTTGGACTTGTGCGGAACAGTGGACCCTTGTGGACACATTTGCCAGAAGCTGTTGACCTGCCCAGAGTTGCTCCAGTACGCATGTAGGTGCAGATGTAGAGGCTGACAATGTGCAAGGGCAAAATGCACTTTATATTGCACATACAAGGGAGAATCTAACGCCTTAACTATTGCAAAGTTTTATAAAGAGTCGTAAGGTGATAAAAGCATGGAAATTGCTGGTTACTAACTTCGAACATGCTGCCTTAAGTATCTGCACTGGCAATGTATTTGATCGGATGTGTGTAAACACACAATTGTTTCAACTTACTGGATTAAAAGTATGAACATCTTGCTCAAAAGTGTAGTTCTTAGCTAGTATTATAGATTTGCCTTACTTAATAGACTAACGCAACTTTAAATGCTTGTTGCTAGGGTAATATGCTGCCTAGCAATCGTGGCTAAGGTTAATTTGGGTTTTAATTGCCTTTAAATAGTCTAGTGATAGTTGTGATGCCCTGAAACATAGTTATTAGCATTTCTAAACCATTTAAACTGGACAAGAAAGGTCTAATTAGCTTGTTACTAAGGAAATTCACTTCCATAGCAACGGTTGCTAAGCAACGCTTTGAAATTTTGGGCACTGCCCTTGAAAATGATCAGCATAGACCAAAGAACATTTGTGCCAAGTTTCATGCTTTTTCCACATTTTGAGCAATTTGGCCAAAATATAGCACCAGTCATCCAGACTATTGCTAAAATTTACAGAACTTTTTGTCAGGGTTCGCCCTCAAGGTTGTGCAATGGGGCTTTTATCTCTCCGGAAAAAAAAAAAAAAAAAACTGGAGACACCATTTGCAGGTTGATCCTCAACATATTTGTTGATTAGTTGATCCTCATGATTTTGAAATTTTGACACTCAAGTATATAGGCCTACAGTAGGCCTACAGTATATGTTAGTGTGTGTGCATGCTCGTGTTAAAAACAGCTAGAAAAGCCGAATAAAAAAAAATGACGTAGATGTTCAACGTTTTAAGCTTTATCATGTGGACATTATCGCCACTATCGATTTTTAGTTTTTCAGAAAAATATGAAATGTGTTATTTCAGAGCATATTTTCAATTTTGTTTCCAGAAACTTGTAACGCACATATCATAGTCGCTTACAGTAAACTTAATTTATTACAATGAAAAAATGGAAGTCAAATCATCTGATGTTTTCAACATGTATCCCCTTACAATATTTTCGAAAAGTTGAGTGATTCAAAGGAAGTAACACTTAAACTCGTACTGTTCAAAGAAGTAATTGTAAAACCGGATCTTCTTGTGGAAGAGACCTGACAGAAATACAGCGATGACTCAAAAATAAAGCACAACAGCGTGAGGTAGGTGACTCACATTCATTGATAATAAAAGTCCCTAATCTTCCAGATAGGACATTATTAAATGTAGTAAGGTGTCAGCTGCAACACCAAAGTTTAAAAGGTAAAAGTCGTCAGCTTAAGATCGTCTTGTTGGAACAATACACCTAAAGTGCCACCTGTGTCAACAGTACTTCCGTGTCCTAGGTCACGTGAGCAGTCCGTCCCACCCTGTAAACTGAACTGAAAATGGCGGGGATAAGGCAGAGTGTGGCGTTAACCGTAGACCAAGAGGATGACTTAAAAAGTCAATTTCAGTCTGTAAGTACTGATATAGCAAATAATTAGGTATCAGCATGTGAATGTTTAAGAATTAACAACATGACAACGACTAAAAACAAAACGAACTTGAACATAATTCACTTCCTGTATTTTTAATTCATTCAACGATTCATTTTTTTCTGAATGAAACGCCGGTTTAGTTAGTGTTATTCGGTTTCAGTATTATCGTATTTATTTTGTCTCCTATATATAATGCTACATATGTAATTTTTGCATATGTTTGTGTGGAATTTTTTGTGTCAAACGAATCACTGGGTCAACTTGAATGACATAAGTGTATGCCTTTTAAGTTTCTTTCAAATACTCGTACCAATACAAGTTGTAGTGAACCTGCAAATGTAAAAAAAATGGAAGGAGATGATTATCAGTTATATGTTTAATAAGTATATATAAAAGTCTTATTTTTTAAGTATGTTACAAGATGAAAGCAGTATAAGGGAGGGGATTAAGGGGTCCTCTTTTTGCTTCTTCCCTAATATTTTATTATAACTTAGACTCACCCTTCAAGAAATCAAAGCCTTCAGTGACTGGACAAAAACTGGAAGTATGTCCTTTTATTGTTTTTTTTCTTTTTTTTTGCCCAGCATGCCTTACACAAACACTGCCTTGTCAAGTAAAATAAAGCATCTAATACAAAGTATCAAACATGGCATTCACATGCTTGTTTACAATTTGTTCAGTACACTTGTTAACACTGACAAGTCAAAGTCAGAAATACATGATTTTAACTGTCTGATTGCACAGTTTAAAAGTTGATAATTAAATCTTCAATTATCTGCATGGTTATTTTTTCAACATTTGCATAAGCTACGAAATATTTCTCGTCGGAAAATCACCCAGCATCACAGTGGCATCATAGTGTACTCACAGTTTTCTGTTAGATTTTAAAGGCTTTAACATTACGGTTTGCAGCATATATAGTGTTCTATTTTAAAATTTACAAAACCTTTTGTATTGAACTTTACAACACATTCTTTAAATGATATTGCACCTTTATGCAAAATTTGAGAGGTTTAGCTTTTCAATAATGCCTGTTCAAATTTGAAAATAAGCCCTTAAGGACGAGCCTACTTGTTCATCAAACAAACACATGTATGAAGACAGAAGTAGAAGCATGGTACCATTGATGATACACAGAGCATGAAGATATAATCTGCACATTTCCCCTAAATCTATTTTTTTTTTTTTTTTTTTTTTTTTTTTTTGTGACAAGACAATGTACATGTTCACTGAATATTCTATTTTTGCCTGCCATTCTGTCAATATGTTACATGTTTTAACCAAGTGCTGTACACAGAGGGATGTCTTGAGATCTCATTTCAAAACCACAGATGCCGGGTTGATTTGATATTAGAAAAATTTTGTGAGTAAAATGTGGAAATGTCTTCTTTTATTAACTTGCTTCTTGACAGCAATTGATCTGTCCATTTCTGTTATCAGAATGCAATATTTAGTTAAAATATCCATGTAGATTTTTGGATGCAGTGGCAAAACCTGAAATTTGACCAAATACAAAACATTTATCGTGGCTTCATTAGTAGACTGATATAACTGCCTGCAGCTCATGTTCAGTGAAGCAAATTTTAGTGTGTAAAAGTGATTACCAGTGAGGTGTCTGGTTTGTCATATGGCCTTTGTCATGGTGTCCAGTAACAAAATTTGTCATGTCATGGCTGGTAAGACTGGCACCAGTCATATTTAACCTTAGGCTGAATGTGCTATTATTGCCATACTTGGCATTAGGAGGGCTTCCTGTGCTCTTTTCAGCAAGTGATTCACTGATAGGTCAGATGAAAATGGTCAATATTTCCATCCTAGGCCCACTCTCTCTGGCTCTCTATCTCTCTCTCTCCACACACACACACACACACACACACACACACACACACACACACACACACACACACACACAGAGAGAGAGGAGAGAGAGAGAGAGAGAGAGAGAGAGAGAGAGAGAGAGCTATCTGGGTTGTCTGAGGTTGGACAAGATTGTGATTCACTGGCAGACTAAGACCAGCTGACTGGCTTTAATATATTCAATGAAACGTGAACATCTTGTGACTTCTTTTGTAAACACAGCTGATTAATCTTTTGTTGTTTGAGTCAAATATTTAAAAGCATCAGGATGTCAGACTAGTTTTTGAAACCATTTATATCCAATTCAATAAAAAATATAAAGAAGAGTGGAAGTGTTTAGAGTACAGAACAAAGTTACACAGCAGTATGGCAATACAGAATTAATTAATTTAAAAAGAACCTTGAATGTGAAAGGAAACATTTTGGAAAAAAAATCTGTACCAAGAAAAAAAATCTGTATCAAGTGTATTGCCTTACAGGGAATTGGCCTCAGTGTATGACAACAGCTTGGCATGCAACTTACTGCTGGCATTAGATCAAAGTAATTGCCTTTGGTTATCACACTCCAATCACAGGTTAATATCACTTCTGCTTTTAGTTTCAATTTAGTGATTACTACTGTAGTCATTGTCCTTTTGTCTTTCCACATTTTCCTGATTATATTTCTAATTTTGAAATAAGATCTGTTAATGATGATAGAGAGAGGACTATTTCAGGTTACAGAAGAACTTAATAAATGATGAATTTAATATGCTCAAACTGTATCAGTTTTATTGAAGTAGTTTTGAAGTTGCTTGCCTGATTGTAACAAAAAAAAGAAACTTGTGATGTTTGCATTGTATATATTGTATGTAAAAAGATGGTAAGTGATTATGAGGACTATTTTCCCATCAAATAAAGTGAAACTGAATAACAATAATTTATTTTGGTAAAAGACTTAAAAAGGAAGTATAATTTCATAGACATTTTATGTCTGTCAACCAGGAAGCAGACTGCACATTCTTTGGCTTACCTGTGGGAACAGATGAAAAACAACAATACATTTACAAGTACCTGATATTGGTGCTCACTCATTCAGATACTGCTCAATACAAAAGGTGTGTCAAAAGTCTCAAAAGCAAGCGGGTAGAGATTGTATATATTATATATCTCAGCAGGGCACTAAGCACTTGGCAACTAAGTAACCACCTAGTTTGTCAACACTCTGAGATGCTAAGACCTCAGATAAGACAGTAAAGGGGTTGGTGGGCAGAGTGTCTTTCAACCAATGGTCAACATTTGCTCAAGCCCGCCCTTACCAGCTATGTGAGGGCAGAGCTTGCAGCCTGTCACTTGTGATGCCAGGCATCTGTTCTGAAATTCAGACAGTGACTACGCCTGTGTATTTGAAAGGGGAAGTAACTGGCATCTGGTGACTTAATGAGGGGAAAATAAGTAAAAAATGGTGTACTATATTCACATGTATTTTTCTTGATATTATAAACACAAATATGATGTGCAATATCTAAGATTGCATATAGTGAGGCAGAAAAGAACTAGACCTAAGAAAAAAATACCAGTGTTTTCAGTTTCAAAACACTACCTAGCCTATACCCTCTGACCCTTATGTTTTTATTGAAAATAACAGAAAATTGATAAAAAAAATCATTGAAAAATACCCGGTAGCAGTATTATTTTGATCAGATAGTTCGACATTTACTTGCTAAGGGGGCTTACAGTTCGCACAGGGTTCGCAAGATACCACTTAGTTTTCATATGAAGGTTTAACCAAAGCCATTTACCAGGCATGCACTACAAACAGAAGCAAAACAGACATATTGTATTGTATTGTATTGTATTGTATTGTATTGTATTAGGAAGGTGCAGTTATAGATTAGTATAGTGGTTTGAAGCATGGCAGATTAAACTAAAACCAAAAGTACCAGAAGCATTTAATTAAAATGGAGGATATTGCATATTACACTTCAACTTGCATGCAATACATCATACTCTACAGTATATAAATAATTTAGTTCAATTTACTTGTTTTCAGAGAATTGTTTTGCAATAGGACATCATTAAAAACACTTGAGCATACTTGATTATAACCATAATAATAATAAAAATTCCTTACCTACTGGTACCCATCCTAACTTTTTAGGCATATAACCAGAAACACAGTTATTTTTTTAGGCCCTTAATAAACACAATGAATATTGCCAATTAACCTATGTTTTGAGGTAAAATAAATAGTGACAGGTGACAGTTTTTTACTTATTTTGAACATGAAGAGGGGTTTACAATATACTGTACCAGTAGCTTTTCTAATTGTTCAGGACGTGAATGGCGTCATCTGGCAAGCACTGGTATATATGCTGATATAGTTGCTGGAGTGTACATTGACTTTTCTTGATATAGTCGTCTGAAATTAAAAGAAGAAAGTTTTTTTTTTTTTTTTTGGGGGGGGGGGAGAGGATTGGTTGGAAGTGCAAGTGAATTTCAGTTTCATTTTATTTTTGGGGGGTTGGGGGTGTAATAATGTTTCTAGGAGAGCACTTGCCAAAGGACTAATGCCCAAAAACTTATCTGCCATATTCCTTGATGAGATAAAACTTGATGACCTTACTACTGGGGCGTGGTAGGTTATCCTCCTCCTCTTCAATTCAGAACCAGTTGTCAAGGAGGCCCTTTGTTCCATACAGCATATAATATTGAGTTTTTAGTTTGAACAGATAATATGCTGATCTGGTTTTATGCAATATTTGCAGAGTTCAGTAAGTGTTTGCATAGTGATTACCTGATCAATACAGTGTGTGGGACGGATGAGATTAGACAAAACTATGACCTCTGCTTATATTTATCTACCAGGATGATATGAAATATGAAACATGATCAAAAGAGACCTGATTTCATTTCTGATTTATTTTATGTCAAGAAATTCAGATAAAAGTAATATATGTTTAGTGTATCAAAAGCGAAGAAAAAGTAAGTGAGTAAAAGAAATGTTGAAAATATCAAGAGATACCAACAATTTGTTAGACAGTTACATGTAAACTTAAACTTTTAAATATAGTGACACCTTGAGGTCTCACAGAATATCTTTATTACAGGAGTCATGAAGGATGAATGAATAACATGAATAAGTGCTCAGTGCAAATGTCTTTAGGTATGTTCTGACTGTTTATGATAGTATTTTTGCAACTCCAGGTGAACTATATTTATTTATGAGTTGGGCAACAAATTCCAAGGCAGTGAGAGTTTGCATGCATGGAGCTTAATTGCTTCTGTCGTGTGATGTTTATGCATTCTGAATACCAAAGAGATACATCAGTAAACTACTCATGTCTTAGTATCAACATAAGTTCATATATATGCCTGATCAGGAGTATAAAAAGCGTATCGTGATGGGTAAACATACAGAGCAGGCATGTGTTACAAATAATTAGTAGCCTAAGCACCTGCATTACTTGTTTTGAATTTTTACATGTACTTCAAAGAGATGTCCTAATTTATTAATAAATAGCTACATGTACATAAGATAGAAATAGGATTTAAACAAAAAGGTGACATAAAGCATTCTTTGTCAACATTTGGATAAGAGATGCTGTTTGGTATCTCATTGAACTATGCCCAATTCATTATAAATGCTGGAGAAGAAGGGGGACATTTGCCAACTAGGTCATGTAAATATTCCATATAAGGTAATAAAGTCGGCTGCTCACTAGGACCTGACACTTCCTTGTGTTTTGAGCAAAATCCCTTGTCCTGTGTCATACTTTGTGTGATACACTTTGTGTGATTTTGTTCAAAAGAGATGCAGAGATAAGATTGTGTGATATGGGGCTGAAAGATAGGAAAAGCTGTTCCATTTCTTTCAGGTATGTCATGAAAGTGAAATTTCCTCAGCATCTGTACATGTATTAATCTTTTGGGCAGTCTTTAAATTGTTGTAATATCCCTTATTGTAGCAGCTGCACTGCCATCTGGTGGTCACAGAAGGAGTTTCTTGCAACACCGCATATATAGCTGGGGACAGTCAGGATAACAAAAGATCACCTCACTCTATACATTTATTATTCTAACCAGACCATAAAAAATTTTTAATGACTGACATTTATACCTTTCTTCATCAAATGCAGTTTCAAGATGGCAAGGTAGAACAAGGACATTTGTGGACATACTTCAGTACATACACATTGAACATTAGAAAATTTTGCTAAAATGGTATTTAACACCATAAGGAATGGTGAATATTATTTTGTAGATAACTTGCAAAAAGATGACTAAATGTTAATATTCTGGTTCTAATTTCAGATTGATGCTGATGGCAGTGGATATATTAGCCTGGATGAGCTACAGTTTGCCCTGGAGACCGTTGGCTTCAAATTGCCAGGCCATGAAATTCGTGAACTGAGGGATAAATATGACCGGGAAAACAAAGATGGCAAATTGGATTATAACGAATTTAAAAAGGTGGGTAGTAAACACAGGGAGTGTCACCAGGTCATACAGATGATCATTTTCCCCCAAATGAGTATTTTATTTCATGTGTATGAAATTTAAGGCCTTTTTACTAGTGCCCCCCCTCCCACATCATTTTTTGATGTTCAGTTAAAAAACAATAATACCCCTGTTTAAGTCTCAATCAAAATTACAAGTAGAAGTGGCAAAAAGATTTCCAAATGAGGACATTATAGCCAGAGTGGAAAAATGGTGTGGAATTTCCTTTTGTTTTTCAGACCTTATTACTAACACTACCCACAGATCTTTAAGCACTAAGGCTCCTATTAACCACTCAACCCATGAATTAAACAACACACCATAAAAGTATTTACCACTACCAGAGTGATTCCTAGCACTAACATTCATCCGCTCTGGAATAATTTTACGGTGTGCTGGTTAATTTGTGGGTTTAGTGGTTAATATGGGTGTTGGTGCTAAAAGATCTGCAGGTAGTGTTAGTAAACACCTACTCCATTTATAAGGTCTGTTTTTGATCCTAATGCATGTACACTACATGTATAAGAAAGTATTACTATTAATGGTAATTTATTTCTTAACTTCTGTCACCAAACTATAAATACACAATTTGAAATGTGAATTAACTTGATTTATATATATATTATGTAATACTTGCTATATTGATTGTTCTGAAGTTGTGTGCTGACCTGACTGAGTACAGAGATCTGGGACGCAAGTTTAAGAAGTTGGTAACCAAGAGATCAGGCTTAGAGACACATGGTGGTATGACAGAAGCATCCAGTGAAGGAACAACACACTCTGTCCGGATTGAAGAACAGATAGCTTTCTCTAACTGGATTAACAGGTAGAATGCTAGAGCACAAGGTTATTATACCCAGCTCACCCCTTACTTGGATGGAAATCTTTCCTTGTGTATTTGGCTTTTTGAAGAAAAGATTTTTTCAAAGCTCTTTTACCATATTTTCAAATAATTTTTCTAATTCAAGTTGCCATACAGGAATTTATAATAATTAATTTCAGCTGAAGGTAATTACCAGCAGCTTTATAGGCTGATGATTGAGCAAAAAATGGATAAGAAGAAGTTTTTGCCTTTTAAGACAACTGGAATCTGAAGAACAATGATGTGTCTGAAATGTAGTATTGTTGCTTCATCAAAGATAAATTATCATTTTATTTTGATGATCCAGAATTTTAACAGGTCGGAACCAATATGATTTCAGGGGTTTGACCAGTGATAAGGAATGTGCTAAGTACCTGCCTCTTCAAGAAGATGGCAAAGATCTCTACGAGAAATGTAAAGATGGGATACTGTTGTGGTGAGGAAACATTTCATTTTTGTATGCATTTAGTAAAGAAGAGAGCTGACACCATATTTTTTAGCTTCACTCTGATGCTAATCCAAATATTTTCAGTGTTTGTTGTGCTCAAATACGCAGACAGTATTATTACTTTAAATTCACTAGTAGGTTTTGTCTAGTAAAAAGGGAGATCGAGTCCAAAAGGTTTCTCATTTTAAAAAGTAGAAAAAAGGAACAATGTGTAAATATCTTTTTGACAATCTTTGTTATTGTATTTTTCTGTTTTTCTAAGAGGATGGTGTATAGTTAACTATTTATAGTGGCAGCTAAAGATTCCCTAAAACTAATTTTATATATATATATATATATATATATATATATATATATATATATATATGTATTGTAATTTTAGTAAAATGATCAATCTTTCTGTGCCTGACACCATTGATGAACGGGCTATCAACAAGGAGAACCTGAACGTCTACAAGAGACATGAAAACTTGATGCTGGCTCTCAACTCAGCTTCTTCCATTGGCTGTAACATTGTAAACATTGGAGCTGAAGATATTGACAAAGGAAAACCACACTTGTTGCTGGGGTTGCTGTGGCAAGTTATTAGAGTGAGCAGAAAAATCATTTTACATGTATATGGTAAACTACTGTCAGACGTACAAATTCAACCTGTTATTTATTAATAGGATGTACCATCTGTCCACTATATTAATGTATTTGGGACAAATCCATTCATTTTGGCACTTTATCAAAGCACTGCATCTCTGAAAGAAATATATTTAAACTTGTTTGCCCTTTGTTCCAGATTGGTCTCCTGAGTGACATCAATCTGCAGAACTTCCCTGGACTGGTTCTTCTGTTGGAAGAAGATGAAACCATAGAAGATTTGATGAAGTTATCACCAGAGGCCATCCTGATACGCTGGGTCAACTATCATCTGCGCAATGCAAATTGTGGACGTCAAATTTCCAACTTCACTTCAGACATCAAGGTAAGTTTTTCTGAGAGTTTTTTCCATCATGAAAACACTTATGCATTAGATAAAATATAGACAGCTTGGTTGTTTACACAGAAAAAGATCTTATCATTTCCATGAAACATTTCTTCTCGAATTCCAGGACTCTGTGGCTTACATTCATTTGCTGGGCCAAATTGCACCCCCTGAAAAAGGAGTCCACACAAATGCATTACAAGTAAGTTGATTGTATAGCTTGCTCAGTCACTTTCAACTAATTATTTATATCGGTGGTTATACATATAGTAGGTGTTTGCATTGTCCTATGTTTGTGAGATCAGAATTTAAGTTTTGTAATTCTAAGAAAATATAGAAGCCCAATCTCAAATTCATGTTAACTTGAATATTGGTGTGAATGTTGTAATGTGTCCTTTAGGAGCCTGATGACACACAGCGTGCAGAGCTGATGTTGGATGAAGCTGACAAGATCAACTGTAAGTCATTTGTGTCAGCCAAAGATGTGGTCAGTGGCAATTACAAACTTAACCTGGCTTTTGTTGCCAATCTGTTCAATACCTACCCTGCCCTGGAACCTCCCACGGATAAGGAGTTTGAAGTAATAGAGGAAACTAGAGAAGAAAAAAGTAAGTATTATTCTTCATATTGTTGTAAAATTTGTGTCAAGATAATATCAGTGTGCTTTCAAAAAATTTAAATATATGAATGATTTTTTTGGTTTCAAGTAAGTACTAGTTGAATTTTTACATAGTCCCTTTTATGAACAAGAATAAGAAAAGAAATAGTTCTTGATGTAAATTTAACCATTTTCCAGCCTACCGCAATTGGATGAACAGTATGGGTGTGAATCCTTTTGTAAACCACCTGTACAGTGACCTGAGGGATGCCCTTGTGTTGTTCCAGCTGTATGACAAGATCAAACCTGGTATTGTGGATTGGAACAAGGTGACAAAAGTCTTCAAGAAGCTTAGAATGAACTTTCAGAAAATAGGTAATCTAAATTTATATCAATATTTGAATGAAAGTACTGTTATTGCCTCATTTGTTTTCTTATTTTGATCATTGATACTCTCTTGAATTTCCCTTATGATTTTGTTTATCTTTGCATTAAAATGATAATATAATTCCCAAGGAATTAAATTCAGGGAAACTGATTTAGTGAAATGACATATTCATAGCCTGCACTGAAACTACATATAGAAGAGAAAGTACAAATTGAAAAAACTGTACATGCCTGTTGTCAGTTCCAATTAATTGTTCATTCTACAATGCATTCAGAGAACTGCAACTATGCAGTGGACCTTGGCAAGCAGATGAAATTTTCCTTGGTTGGCATTGGGGGTACTAACATCCACGAAGGCAATGAGACCCTCACCCTGGCGCTGGTTTGGCAACTGATGAGAGCTTACACCCTCAGTATTCTAGCTCAGCTCAGTGAAAAATCTGATGGGAAAGAGGGGAAAGCTGTTGCTGAGACAGAGATAGTACAATGGGCCAATGAAAAGGTAAAATACTTGACAGCCTTGTATGACAGGCATATATATGGTTACAGTGAGTGGTGAGATACATTATTTACATGGATGGAATTTTAGCAGGATCTTGTATAAAATGTTTAAAAACAGGTCTCTCACAAAACGTTTTGTTTAGCAAGGATGAAAACAAACTATTTATAAGTTTTTTATCAACATTCATGTTTTCATTCCTGCTTTTGATGGTTTCTTCCATTTTCCCAGTCTGACAGAGTGCCCTTAAGGATGTGGAATTCTTGATTTTACATGGTACAGTTCTAATGCCTTTTATTTCATTGTTTATAGCTGTCAGCAGCAAAAAAACCAACCCAGATTGCTAGTTTTCAAGATCCAACCATAGCTGATGCGAAGGTCGTTATTGATCTGGTGGATGCCATCAAGCCAGGCTCTATCAAGTATAACTTGGTTAAAGATGGAGCATCAGATGAAGTAAGTGATGGAAAATGTTTGATTTTAGATGATCTTTTGAATAGATCTATTAACAAACACACTCGCAAGTATGTTTGCACACATGGAATGAGATTATTTGAACTGTATATTGTAATACAAGTCTAAATAGTTTTCAGAAATAACTTCAAAGATTAATAGTATCATGATTATAAGGATTGTAATATGAATAATCTTTGAAGTTACCCTTGAAAAATAATTTGTTTCATGAAGGGTTGTGTCAACATTATATACAAGGTGGAATCCAGTGAAAAAACTAGCGCTAACAAAGTTAAACTTTTTCACCAGGAGAAGCTTGCAAATGCTAAATATGCCGTCTCAATGGCACGTAAGATTGGAGCCAAAGTTTATGCCTTACCAGAAGACATCATGGAAGTCAAGCCAAAGATGGTAATGACCGTATTTGCATGTCTCATGATCCGAGACATGCAGAGCAAGCAAGTGTCCTTAGAAGACTGAAATATCATCACACTACTTCCAGGCGTTAATATGGAAGACAGGACTTTGTTTAATGTCAATTGACCTTTGCCTATATTGCAACAAACAAGTTGACATTTTTTGCCTAAAATGAAGAACTTTATTTCCTTAAAACAGGGTTTTTGACATGTTTTTGAATTGTTTTATCATATGTTTAAAATTTCAAATTGCCAGTAATTTAACTGTTGAATTCCATTTTACACTTTTGATAATAACTAAAAAAAAATTGCTGTTTCTGTGAAATTTGGGTGTTAGTATTTTTTAAAAATTTACAACTAATTGCCATTCTGTTGGATTGAATAGTTTTCTCACCTGTTGCCCAAACAGAATTATTGTGATATATCATCATTTATAGATAAAAGTATAATTGCATTATTGGTTTTATAGATTTATATACAGAGGAATGATATTGATATCCTGACTGTTCTTTATATTTGATCATTTTCCTATAATTAAACCTGTACATGTAGAATGTTTTGTTTATTGTGATATTTTTTATGCTCTAGTGTCATGCTAAATCCACCAAATTATTATTTAACACTGAAAAACAATAATATGGAAAGAGAACTGGACAAGAAAAGTATGCAGCATTAAATGATTATTGTTTGGCCATATTCCCATATATAAAACTGCTTCCAAGTATATTCATGTAAGTCATATCAAGATAAATGAAATACTTTTTCATTCCAATCATCCAGTAAAAACTCCTATGTACATTCCAGTGACTAACACGTTTCACATTTTTCCCCAAGATTTAGTATGTATAATATATATAGATATATATTTAGTTATATTAATATTGTAGTTTTCACCATTTAAATAGGTTTTTGTCTGATATGTTCCCCAAGGTTCAAAGATCATTGGAAAAATACACCTGTAGAATGTTGCAGTTTTTTTTTTTTTTTTTGCTTTACTTTTGAGTTTTTCATTAATGTTCCAGCTATTTAAGGGACTTGTCTTCCATCATCTGTATGTGACATCTGCTTGATCAACATCTTAACAATAAATCTTACAATACAAGTTCCCATTTGTTTTTGTTTGTTTTGTTTTTTCAAAACATGCATCGCCATTTCATAGATTTACCTTTTTATTCCCAAGCTTATAAAATAGTTATAACTGAACTAAGAATAGTGAAACTACCCAAACCATTGTGCTTGGATGTTCTTGGAGAACCAGAAAAGACAAGAAACCATTTGAATGGGGCTCATCCAAGATAGCCTATGGCCACATTCAGAACCAGGTGATCCGTGCACCAACTTATCTGTGGATCAAATATTACCTACCTACTTTAAAACTTGTAACATAATCCCTAAAAAACACCAAATCGATTCCCCACGTGGATTACACAGCAAGCATTCAAGTGGTTTGGCCATGTATGATCTGCTAATCAACTTTGGTTGTGAACAGGGCCTCAAACAAGACTAATAGCACTGCATGATGTCTGTCAAGTTGAAAAATGTGTGAGTATCTGCACAAGTTGGGATTGACTTTTTAGCCATAACAAGCCTCATAAACAAAAACTGGTGTGAATTGGGCCTTAGAGCTGTGAGCACAAATGCACCAATTAATGCACCAATTAATCCAGTCACAAGTGAACAACCCAAACATAGAATTACTCACCACTAGCTTAGCATTTATTACACAATTTGGCCTGGCCTCTGGCTGTATAGGCCACACATGGGTAGTTATGGGTATTTGTGCCCACAAATCTGAGGCTCGAATTAGATAACGCCTAATCCGTTTATAAGGCCTGCATTTTTATGCAGAGAATGTCATCACAGAACACAGGACATCAAGCATATCTCCTGTATAGAGGCTATTTACCTGGATAGCTTCATTCCCTGATAAAGATGCTCTGTTAGACATCAAAATATTTCAGGCAAATTATTTAAATATTCAGCTGTTGATTGAAGATAAAATTGCTTAATTCTTATGACATAACACAGCTGATGAAATTCTTAAATGATATGAAAGAATTTCGACTTGTGTTTGATTTCATGTATGATTTATTTACTTTTATGAATCTGTAAAATTAAAAAGGACATCTATTTGGCCGATCATTTTCATGCACTAGATGGCACCAGTTAAATGCATTTAATTTTCATTCATCTTCCAGGCCTACTGCATTTTTTTAACTGACTCTTACCAAGAATTATGGGTTCTCCAATTTAATTCTCTTACTGTGCCATGCATTCAGTGAATAGAGACAAAGAAGAATATTTTTAACAAAATATTACACAATTTATTTATTCATTTTTGAAAGCAAAATACGGAATGCATAGTTTGTACGCTACATTTTGTTCGACTTGGGAGAGTCTTGATACATCAGACTGAAATTCCCAGATGATCAGAGAAATTTAATTAAACATATTTTTACTGAAATATGGCAAATATGTGAAGGCAACATTCTATACTAGCAAACACATTTTTGTACTGATATGTAATGTAAATAATATTGATGAAATATTGTAACTCCATTTAAAAATGCTGAATTATCCTGTAGTTTTTGGATAAAACCCTGCTTCTGTATTAGTAATTTTGGCACAGTATAATTTTGTTGTTATATAAAAAAGAATAGTGAAACTGGTACCTTTTTATAACTTCTAATATAGCCAATGCATATAATTAGCAAAACTTCATAGACATGGCAGGCTATGTCTTGATACACAACCCATATATGTATGAATAAAGATGGCAATCTAACTACTGCAGTCGATTTGTGCTTAAAGAGCAATTCAGGGTCAAAACCTTCTCTTATTTTCCCCTTCAGGACAAATCGGCTGTACTTAAGTGTGTAAAGCTCAAAATTACAATAAAATCTCCAGTTTTATTGTTGTTTTGTATAGTGTAAGATTATTAAGAGTTGATAACCCTCCCCTCAAATCTCACTCTTGGTCACATATCTTTCTAGAAAGTCTTTCGCCCTGGTATGAATTATGATCTATTGTAAAAGAGCAAACGGAAACTAGGTAAATTTCACAGATAACAAATATGATTTTATCCATAAGTAGCATCTAAACAAAGCAAAAGTGTTTTGGTAATACATTAATGCACATACACAAACATATGCAGACATTGCTCACTGTTGGTTCTTCAGTGCACAATTCTTGTTCTCTAATCAAACAAACATTGAGGAAATGCACAATATGCCTTCTGCCAAGCATTTGCAGAGAGGGCCACAATTTAACATAAATTCACTGACATGCAATTTTGCTGTCACAGATAATATCAAATAAATGATTGCAGTATGATAAATATATACAAATTATTTTAATTATACATCCGACATATCAGATTACATTTCAGTAGAACAATTGGCTTTTATACTCTATACAGTAGTCTGTGCATATATTTAGTAATATTAAACAAGCAACATTTAGCATGGAATGAAGAGTACATGTAAAATAAGTACATCTTTTAGCAATATGATCAGTTTCAAACTATGAGTAAACATTAATCTAATCAATTGAATCTTTTTTCATTGATTCACTGAAAAGCATCTGATTGATTACAAACTGAATGTAAGAGAAAGATATTGATTGAAGAGGGTTTCAGATTTTATTCTTGAATTTGATACATTTTTCAAATGTCTGTCTCAATCTCTAAGTTTCATAAAAAATACTTCCAAAATTCTTCCATGCCCAATTCTTGATTAAACAGAGCCACATCAGCCCCACACAAAATATTCAGTCAAATTATCTTAATTATTTAATACATCGGGGGGAAAACCAATAAATTATCACAAGAAATGCAAACAAATTAACTAGCAGTAAATAAACACAGAAATACAAAAAGTATGATGCCCAGCACCTCATGTTGGGATATGCCAACAAGTAAAGACTAGAATTTCACTCTCCTCCTCATATTATACAACAGAACATCATAGATTCTAATTGGTAATCATGTTTTGGTCATAAAAAATGTTTTGCTATCAAATCATACGAACTTACACATTTTTAAGTGTCATGGGAAGACAAAAACCCAATTAGTTTGCCCAAAGTGTGTGACAATAATGCCAAAATTATCAAATCTCACCTTACCACATCATATGTCCATTGAAGTAATGTCATAATGGAATAAATTTAGTTAATGATTTATGTATTTTCATATCCTAACTCCTTCCCTCTGTAGTACAACATGTTTGAGGGACCTGTAGCTTACAAAACTTCTCTTGAAAGCAGATTTCATTGTCGTGTAGTTATTTGTTCCTGTGGACCCATCAGCAGTTAAAATTTGCAGCAGCCATCACCAGTCATATAGTCTACTTCTTGTATTCATCATGAGTGGATCTCTATTTTGAATTCAGAGTACAACACCCACAAATGCATGTTATGAAGAGTAACATGTATCATAGGCACCCTGCCATATGTGTACATGGAGCAACCTCTTCAAGCACCCTGCATCCTTCACCGTATTAGTAGTATGAAAACCGCTCCCTACCACCCTGGGGAGAGTTAGTAGTGATTTTTTTGCGTTGTCGTCTGAGCTGGTCCCTCAATGTGTTGCCAGTGGGCTGGTCTTCTGATGACACTGACAACAACAAAGATGAAACTGGTCAGCAAATCAGACAAGTGTGCACAAATTACAAGATCAATGGAATCAAGGGGGCCAATTCGAAACAATGATCAGAGACATGTCTGGTTTCATTTTAATAAAGTGACATTTTGACACTTTTTTCTGTTTGATTCAATAATTGTTATTATCAACTGATCAATTTTGACCAAACTAGTAACTATTTAGATTTCGTGTTATGATGTATCAGCCTAAAATGATCCCAGAGCTTGAGGTACGGTTGTTATGGAACTATAATCTAAGAGGTAGCAAAGTTAGTTAAGGGACACTAGAAATTGTGATTCAACACATCATTCAATGACTGTACTGCTGCTCTTTCATCGGCAGAAGACACTGAAAACAACACAAATAATATGTATTGAACAGCAATTCTTAAACAAAAATAAGGATTTCATTTTCTGAATAGGACAATACCCATTTGTCTATATGTATAACTTCATATTGTTGGGATTTTTTTCATTAGGGCATTTTTAACTATATTTCTAACATATATTTATGAAATAATGACATAAAAAGCAATTTGCGCAGTTGAACTTTAGAGAAATTAAACTTTTACAACAAATAGAAAAGTTATAACAAACCTGACAGACTGTCTGATTGGTCATAGTCAGAGCGTGGTGGGGTGGCAGGAGAGAAATCAGGGGGGCTGCCAAGACCAGAGTCTCGCTTCCCATTCTCTGATGAGTCTGCACGCTGCTTTCTTTTCTGCAGAATTGCTGCAAGTTCATTGTTGCCACTATTGGTATCCTTGAACTGGAAAAAATGTTCTTCTCAAAACTTTAAACAAAAAACATTTTACTTCAAACAAATAATATTCAATCTATACACAGATGTGTTTTATGAAATATGGATAAATATTACCATGACAAAATGACTTTTAAGTTGATAATACATTTGAGAGATGTGTTTACCCCAGAAAGATTTTTCTGCACCAGTACTTGGCTTGCAAGTCTCTGCCCCTGTTCCTTTCCTATTAACCTCTCCAGCTCAGCTTGGCTAGCCTTGAATAAGGATTCCCCATCATATTCATCTAATTTATACACAACTCTGAAATGGATTAAAATTAAAGGATAATTGCTAAAAGCACCAATTTTCTTTTAGCCCCCCCCCCCCCAAACAAAAAAAAAAAAAAAATTTCCTGCCCAAATTTGTCTTAAACATTAGTTTTTTCTTTTAACCAATGTTTGTGATGGTTTATAAGTTTGTGTGTGCACTTTAAATGGCTAACTGTTCCCAGTAAGACATGGGGAAAACTTTGGAAGTACTAAAATTCTGAAGGACCTGAGCTACAAGAAATCTGCAGGTCTTCCCAATTTTGTGCAGGTCTGAACTAATACTCTGAGATGGGTGTGGTGTAATAAGTCACATGGTCTAGGTTAAAGGTCCTTGGAGTGAAGTGGAGACTATGTATGTGATGTGGCATGCGAGACATGGCCTTTTAATTTCTGTAAATAAACATTTTAAATTTTATACGTGTATGTTGTTCCAATACTATATCTGGCGACAAGGAAAGAACAGACTCACAAGGGAGCCAAACCAAGTAAGAATATATATCTTTCAAAAACAGACATTGGCTATAACGAAATTCAATGATAACAGTATAGCTCGATACAGCCTGTGCAGAATTGTTATAATGGCTAGTCCATCTTTACAGATACCTACCTATCATGAACTTGACTGAAAGTCAGAAGGCCTTGCCATTAGATGGACAAAATGGGTGAACGGATTGAAAAACAATGTATTTGTCGGTTATGGTATAACAAGTCCGCAAAAGAAGAAGGCACTTATGCTATCTTTCACACCCAAGACGAGCGTTACATGTTTCAAGTATTAAAATCAAGGCCTACAGCCTTCCTAAAATGCAGGTTTCCGAAAATGCAAAAACTTGTCGTGGACACTGTGAAATTGTGTAGACATTGCCAAATTTCAACGAATATAACCACGCAAAAGCCTCTTCGCATTATAGAACTCCCAATCGACCCTTGGACAGAACTTATGTAATGCTGACTTTGGAGAGGGACCTAGTGGTCACAAACTTTTCATGATAACTGATGAATACACACAGTATGTCATTGTTGAAATTTTGACCTCAACTTCAGCACAGTGTTATCCCACGGTTGGATAAGGTTTTTGCTGAGTTAGGTGTGCCTTCGGTATTAAAAACAGATAATGGACCTCTATACAATGGAAATGACATAGCGGTTAATGCCAAGAAAACCAGTTTCAAACATTGCAAAATAACACCACTGTGGCCTCAGGCAAATGGAGTAACAGAGCGTTTTATGGGGCCTTTGAAAAAGTCAATCAAGTGCACCATTGAAATGAAGCGCAACTGAAAACAAGCTATGAATGATTTTCTCCTTGATTATAGAATGAGGCCATATGCTTCTACCGGTATTCCTCCTGCAAATGCACTTTTCAGAAGGGATATCAGCTGTAAACTTCCATGTGCCAAAAATGCTGAACATTGATTCTACAATCAGGCATATTGATCAGAACAGCAAGAAAGTGACTAAGTATTATGCCAATCGTACAACAAATATAAAGAAATCTGCACTAATGGTGGGTGATACAGTTCTCTTGAAGAACACCAAATGTAAAACATACCGAACAGCAGATGAATCCACACCACTTACAATATGTCGTAAAAAGGGGACATTGACAACTGCGAGAGATGATTCCACAAGGAGAGAAATAAGGACGACCTCTAGTTTTTTTTAAATGTTTTCATTAAACGAGTTTAGGTTGAAGTTGACAATTTAATGGATCCAGTTGACATTTAGTATTATATACATTTTGTGTTATTATTTATTACATTTACTGTATGTATGTTATGAGTTGTTCTGTTACAATATTGTAATTTAAAAAGAAATGAAAGAAAAGTTGTAATGTGATATAATAAGTCAAGTGGTCTAGGTTAAAGGCCATTGGCGTGATGCAGAGACTATGTATGTGACATGGCATGTGAGGCATGGACTTTTTATTTTTGTAAATAAAAATTTTAATTTTATACATGTATGTTGTTCCAATACTATAATGGGTACTGAATAGCAGACTTGTTATGTCTTCATTTCTATTTTTTTCTGAAGAGGCTTGAGAAGATTCACATTATTTCTCACAATGCCTTATTTTCATCCATACTCTCGTTTTTCTCTTTTTAATATTGTTTCCATCGTTGTCCTCATTAACCACAAGCCATAACGCTGTCAGGCTGCTTCAAAACTGACGCCATTGTGAGCAAAAATTAAGTCAAGATATGGGTATTTTGCAAAATTTTTTTTGAAACCTGGTTTGACCTGGATTTATGCATTCTGGTATACTAGTATGGTAGTAGTTTTAAGTAGTTTTTAGGATTATGCACATGCTTTTTAAATAATATGGCAATTTTACAACATTCATTCAAGGTTACAGCTGAGCATGTTTCCACTGCACAACTAATGTTGGGCAAAATGGTTAACAGCATGCTCATTAAATATTGCTCTCCAAATGTTGAGCAATGTTCAGTGAAATGTTGAGAGTGCTTTAACTGGGCTTGGCACATGTGCATAAGAATGGGAACAAACATTGGACAAAAGTATATGCATGGGTCAAATCAGAATATAGGTCATGTGATAGCGTGCATTCTTTCAGAGGCATTCGATGTTAACATACAATTCATTTTAACATATTATATTTTCACATGAACCTTGCCTGTCCAGGAGACCTTCACTGTGAAAATCATGCCAGCCTCTCCCTTTTTCACAGTTGAACCAGAACTTGGTTCCTCATGTTTAAGGGAAAGTTCAAGCAGTTGGTTTAATTTTCAGCAGAGTGAAATATCAACGGTTAGCCTGAGCACAGGTGTAGAAAATGGAACTCTTTTTGTCACTCATTCACTGAGCAAACCTTATATTCCATAAAAGTACAGTCATGTGATTTCAAATTAAATAAAAACAATCTGTAAGGATAATAAGAGCCGTCAAATTTCATTAAAATGATTCTACAACCATCGGCTTTTTACCTTTCTGGAAAGTTCTTGGATTGCAACCATTCCCCAACCTCTTCAGTTGTGGAGTACATTGTCAGGTACACTGCTGAAATAGGGCGTCCATGTGACACAGGGCGGGAATTGCGGTTCTTCCCTTTTGTTAACTGATTCTTCAGTTCATTATGGAGATCATCTTTAGATGCAGCCTTATGAACTAAACAAAAACAGGCCAAAATAATACAGTAAAGAAGCTACATATTTTAATACTTTATACAACAAAATAAAGGAGTGGTTATTTGCATACACACAGAACACTTTTAACAAACTAAATTGAAACAACAGATTATGCACAACTACAACAAATCTAAGCAATAAAAGCTAAGCACTTTGTACTTGACAACTAATAAGTGTTAAAATAAAACATAAGGTAAATCTACTAAATTCTATTAAACAGCAAAATGCAAGGAAAGATAAAGACAAATCTACCTCTCTACATAAATAAATAAATAAATAAATAAATAAATAAATAAATAAATAAATAAAAAACAGCTACATTCTGGTTATTAAAATTATGTAAAGAAAAATGTTTGGTATAATTTTAACATTTGGAAAAAAGGTTGAGGTTGAAATACTAAAATGTATGGTGCATGTGCTATTTACACAAAGGATAAATAAAATGATGTGCTCTAAAAAAATATTAGTATGTCATCTTATGTAAAGATTAATTTATAGTTTAGGGGTTGGTCATGCAAGTGTATTTACCATACTACTAATAAGTGCAAGCCTTCCCATCATAGGCAATTCCATCATGTTATCAAATGTCACTTTTCTGCTCAATAGATTCAAATAGTTTGTTATTACATTATTATAACAATACCAACTTCTTTCTTGCAATTATGTTTCCTTGGAAAAGCCTACCTGTAGGCGAACTTTGCACATATAAGAATTAGGTGTGAGAGAAGCTTGGTGAACTATGCTCTTTCAAAAGAAAAAGGAAAAGCTAATTAATTAAAGCACTGCTACTGATTGTGAGAAAATAACATGCATGTGTGGCATGCTAATCTGTCTTTGGGGGAGAATAACAGTATTATTACTCCATGCTAAGAATAAAAAAATCTAAATCTAGTAAATAACACTGAGGTTATCTCTTATAAAACATTCATATTCCACTGGTTTCTAGGGAAATGTGGAGGGTCAATCTGAGAAAAGCAACTGTAGTCAGTAGTGTCCCCATCTATTAGCAGCAACTGTTACTACACTGCATCATGGAAACAACTTACTTATTGTTTTCTCCTCATTTTCCTTTGGTTTTGGTTTCTTTGTTTCTTCTGAAAATCATTGTGCAAAATGTGTTGTTGTTAATATTCTAGCTTGCAAAGAAGGTAAGCCTAATGTTTGTGCTGTTGTTAGTAATATTTAAGCAAAAATAAGTCAAATATACAAGGGTGCATGATTATGGCTTTTTGAGTTCATGTAGCTCACAAGAGATGATTCAGTAGGAAATCAAAATAAGCAACATTTTTGATGTATTATCCTGTGTGTGTGTGTGTGTGTGTGTGTGTGTGTGTGTGAGAGAGAGAGAGAGAGAGGGAGAGAGAGAGAGAGAGAGATGACAATAAATGTTATAATGTCTACACATCGAGAACATTTTCAGTTAGCTTTCTTATATTAGTATTCACTAAAACAGTTAGAAAATGCTGCAAGTCATCCCACAACTTTTCTCTATATATCAACTCCACTGGAAATATGCTAAGGACAAAAACAGCAATAAACAGAAAAATAAAATATACAAGTGCAAACTGAAGTGGCAATTACATATGAAAAGGAAAACCAGGTCAGAAAAAAGATATGCAAAGAAACAGCAGATCTATGGAGTAAAGTAAAGTGCATTTTCAAACAAAAACATCAACATGCCCCTTCAGCATACACTTCTGCCACTGCTCGAGATTCACTTGGTGTTCATAGTACGACACATGCTGCTTTAAACACTGGAAAAATTCTGAGATCAATATAACATAATACATTTATCACAAAGAGGAAATTTAATTTAAGTAACATAATCAGGGGGCAACCAGAAGTGCAACATAAAAGTTCACATATTAACTTGTGAGTAGAATTTTTGTAAGTTTGAAGCATTCAAATTTATCAATGGTTTCCATTTCATGGTCACTATAAGAATTTGATGTTCAATATAAATTTTAATATGCAAATGACAGAAAATTGCTCACAGGAGAGTGTGCTAAACACCAATGAGAAGCATGCATTACTATGGGCAGAGAGACACATTTGCACCAATTATGTCAGACATACCCATGCTTCACTCATTAGCCCCTAAAGTGATCAAAAAGTTTAAAAAAAAAAAAAAAAACGATGTAAATGAGAAGATGTCATCGTTTTAATCATTTTAGGCCCCAGAAAGAGTGACCTCTTTCCAGTGGGATGCCACTGAAGAAGGTATATTTACTTTTCCTATAATTCCTTCAGTTATGACATATTTAATTTTTCAGTTATCAGATCTGAATTGCAACATTAGATTTAAAATGTTCACTTAAAATGCTGCATTGAAAGATTCATTGGTTATTGAGAAAATGAACCCCCCATCCAAAAAAAAAAAAAAAAATGATGTTACAGAATTACAGAGAATTTACAATGGCGCCTTTTATATGGTTGCCAAAAAATCTGCAAGCTTATAGTTTTCTGACAGTATACACTGGCCATTTGTAGTGTAAAAATGGAGTGCATTATGTACTTCATGTGATATTTATTACATTGTGAACTATGTCATGTAAACAAGATACACCATTTGTATAATAAATATGGTACAAAGAGTTAAAGTTATGTTGTAAAAATATACATTGTAGAAAAAAGGTGCTTGAGAGGAATGGAATCAAATAGTTTTTACAGAAATGCCATTTCACACATAAGTAACATCAGAAGTTTTCCACTAAAAAACCCACCTACCATATGAACGATACACGAGATTGAAATCATTTGAAAAAATGGGGAACAATCTGATAATGCCCAGATTCAAATCTAATCTGTATGCCAGAACAATGAGTAATTACTGTGACTTTACATACAGACGCAAGTGATAGCAATATGTACAGACATTACTGTCTGCATATAAAACATGGATGCAGAAAGGCTGAGCCTCTTGAAAACTGCATAACAATGTTGAACAGATGGTGTCATGTGACCACAACAGTGTCAGCACTGAAATATGAATACAACACAAGAGTTGATTAGAATATGAAAAATCCCATATTTTATTGCTTAAATTAAATAGAACATTATCTAACAATTATGAGGTGTAAAAATAATACCTTGATATGTTACATAAACCAACATGGTATTGGTCCCACAACCTTAGCTTGTCTAAAAAAATTATATCATAAATATGGATACTAGAGACTGCCTCCAAAATTCACATAATGCACTGCCAAAGGGATATCAAGCATTTTCATATGCACAAAGCTTTAACTTGATAAATCATCACAACAAATAGGACTTACAAATAATGTTCACTGAAAACGTAAAACACACAAAAGGGTTCATCTTTTATATATAGAACACGTCTTAGACTGTTTGAGAAATTAAACTCAATCAGAAATGTAATTTTTCACTGAAGTATTCTAGAACAAGTGTTACCAAGCAAAAGAAAGAAAATTAGAGTTCAGAAAAAATTTCAAATACAAGAAAAAATATAGCCACAAGCAGTATCTGGAGCACAGAATCAAATTACGTAAGAGTGGTACTACTCCCAGCAGACAGTCTTGATCACCAACCCCATCTGCTGGCCACAGGAAACGTGCAAGAAAGAGCTTGGAGACAACTGTTGCAAGTAAACTATCTACTGAAGCTAAAGCTAAGTATGGCAATGCATTATGTCAAATCTACAACCACCAGAACTGAAATACAAAATTAATGTGTAAGTAGAAACACATTCTTAGTAAAGAAATTAATCCAATCACTTAAGATTAGGATGTACTGTATCTGAAATAGAATGCCCACAGGTAAAAGAAAAATTGTTAAGATTAATGAACAAAACTAAAATGAAAAAGCAAGAGATATAATGAGGCCATCACACTGATACACAGTCAAGCCCAGTGTATTAGGTCACCTAGAGAACAGGTTATTAAGTGCAGACAAAACATTTAGAGGAGAGATACAACGTGCTTTTATGAATGAAATCATGTTTCCATAAACAAACATTCATTAACAACAGACAGATCAAAACACCAACTGTTTGGAATGTTCATTGGCAATGATCATGTGAAATTTGAATTCAATCAATCTATGAATTACCACAGATAAATTTTCATACAGTATATCTTACACACTAAATTATCTTATATAAAATGTTTGCACTTTCTAAAACAAAATATCAATGTGAAAAAATATTATGTAATCTTATTCATATCTTTGGTTAGTTACTTCTTGTAAGCATATTTCAACTATTATCAACATAATGTGCCTTACAATCATATGTGCAGTGATAACAGTTTTTTAAAGAATTAAGTGCATCTTGTTTGTTTTCATCTACCTTTTTCTCTTCATTGTTTAAAAGAAGAATTTCCGAGAAACTTATTGCACAGAGTCAATATTCTAATAATGGGACGTGGCTAATAAATCTATAGAGTTTTACTATTACAAAATTTTAAGGGTGAATTAAAACCCAAAAGAATCTGATAAAGATATCTTCGATATCTCGCATTTTTATTCTGAGGGGGGAAAGAGAAGAAAATTATACTCATAATGAATTATATAAATCTAGTCTCTGAAAATTGCTGAATATTATGTCAATGAAGGACAAGAGAACTGTATTTAGACAATGTCCTTTTAGATGCCCCTAACAACCCAATTCTTGTTTTATACAGCTAATGATCATAACAATACATGTGTTAATTTGTGTGATAAATGACTGTGATGTATAATATATTATCTTATCATTTAAATTATTTACATTTTATGGTTGACAATTAATTTTTTTATACAAGTTAAACACTCATTCTCATTCAAATCATAATAAAAATAATTACATATTCTATATTTAATGATCTGTCACCTTGTGAGTAGCTTGGCAACAATATAAGCAATGTTTTTTATGCTTTAGACTTTTTAAGTAGATTAAGGCAAGGTATGAGCATTTACAATACATATTTAATCAAATATAATGCTTGTTTTTTCTTTTTATCCCGATAAATGTGAAATGATGCACAAAAATGGAAATAAGGTGACATACAAACTATCCTACTCTATTATAGGCTTCTTCACGCTATACACAGTCATACATTACATATCAGCAGTCAATGAACACACTAATAATACAAACATAGCTGATCCTCAGTATCTGAGTCATTTTTCCTGCAGCCTTGCAATAACACTCAAAACAGACAAGGCTAAAATGCATTTCCAGAAATCTTTATAGGGAAAATAACACGTTTGCTTAAAACAGCTGAAAAGAACTATATCCTACATTCATTGTAAGATAAAGCATCTGCAATTCAAAAGTAAAGGATATTTCATTTCTTTTTTCCTCTGGCATAGTACATACCAGTGTAGATTGAAATATAAGTTGGCCAGAACATGACTTATAACCCAGACAATTCCAACAGCCACCCCCCCTCCCTGGTCTGCTGTATGTCTAGAAGTATCGGTATTCACCTTGTCTGTTGGCTTGCTTCCAATTCCCATTAACAGGTGGTGGTGGAGGGCCTGGAGGTGGGGGTGGAGGGCGGGCACCATTACTGCGCCCAAAGTCTCTACGATCCTGAAAAATATTGTAAATCTAAGTAAGAGAACAGCTGTACAATATGAGTGTACTTTGCAAACCAATATAAAGTTAGCAGATACTGAGACCATGAATTTCATTTTGGCAATATTAAGTTTACAAATAATAACAATCAACCCAGAATACTTCTCAGCTCATATTCCTACCCTTTCATCAAATGAGGAGTCATGTCCACGTGGATCACTGTCATCATCATATTTCTTCAGAATGGTGTATGGGGCATGCCCAACAGTTCCTTCACTATTCCTAAGTTTCCACCAGTTTCTGCCATCATCTAAGACCTGTGAAGTGGAATAAAACCCAGTTTATTTTGTCAGTGTAGTAAAACAAAATCAAAGATCATAATCATAATTTAAACTAACAAAATACTAATTGCAAGAAAAAAACACTTGTTACATGTACAAACAACAAATAATTTTTTAATTATAAAGAAAATTGCCATGATAAGGCCATTATACACTAGTGTACTTTGCATGGGTATGCTACCTCCAAAATTTCTCCTTTTGAGACAGTCAGCTCCTTGGCATTTCTTCCACTGCGTTCATGCATTACCTCATAAACCCTGAATAAAAGGAAAGAAAAAACTTTTAAAACTTTCCATGGCAGATTTTCTTCATCATGGTGAGAAATCAGATGTTAATTTTCATATAATTACATATAATAAGAGATTCATTTTCTGAAGCCTTTCGGTTGGTATTATTATATTTTAAGTGTATGTAATCACTTACTTTGCTCCTTTACTGCGTAGTTCCCTCAAGAATATTTTCTGCTTTTCCTCAAAGGAGAGAACTCTGGGCTCTGGGGGCAACTGAGGTTCTTGTCTACGAGCCATGGCCTCATGCTGGGCTTGCCTATTTCTAGATAACCAATGATAATAGCACATATATATTTATTACAAATACTGGACAAAACTTTTTTTTTTTTTTGGACTTAAAAAGAATTTACAGTACTTGCCCATGTAATACATAGGTTAACTGCAATTTCCAGACAAGCCATGATATGCTGTCATCTAACAATGTAACAGTTGTTTCTGCCATGGTGTATACTGGACAGCTGGCATGTTCAAACATCAGTTACAGCTTCACATATTTTAAGGCATATGGTATTTGACCCTTATCTTCCAGGTCGTTCTCCATTTGCTAAATCACAGCATGCTGCATCTTTCTTTGCTTCTGTCATGCTATAAGTTTCGTATTGTACTACATAGTAGGGGTAAGGGGCACACTTGTTGCACATAACAGCATGCTGTCCCTGTGTTTGTACTGAATATACAGAAGGGAAACAACAGACAACATGAGAAATAATATTCAGAACTGGTGAACTGGTAAATCAGTATCAATATTTGTAATCTCAGTGGTGGCTTATGTCATAAGGTCATCAACAGCTGCAACAAATGCTGGGGAAATTTGACAGGTTCTAGGAAGCAGGCAACACAGTCTCAAGCAAGTAGGGGTAGGATTTTACTTGCTAAGTATGTAAGGCATGTTCAAGTAGTCATACTTTAAAAATGTTTGCACAATTAAACTCAACTTGTTTCAGTTGAACTTGCTTCAAGAAAAAATATTAGTAAAGCCAACTAAATGAGAAACGTTCAACACAAAAAATGGGTTACACAATATGTTAGAATCCCTAATTGAGCATAAATAAGCAACACTGGTACGCAAGGAGTACAAATACATGAATACATGAGAATGTTATGTCTTGAAAGTGAAAAATTATTTTGAAAGTAAAACAAAAAAGCCGAAATAGTGAAAATGAAAGAGAAAGTGAGAACAACAAATGAAGGCATAGACAACTGTAACACATGTTAATATATACAATTAAAGTAAACAAACAAAGCAGTAAGTTAAGTACAGAAATTAGTATTTTATCAAATTAATTAAGATTGTCATGATTATGAAAACACACATAGTTGAACTGGAAAGGTTATTGCACATAAACAAGACAAATGACATTTCACACAAAGAGAAGCCTTATATTTGTTTAAGAGATAAAATTATTTCAATATTGAAGCAAATTCAAATGAACAAGAAAGTAACAGAGTCCAACCTGTCAATGTGTTTTTCAACATAAGCTTGAAAGCCAGCAGACCTGGGGTCTGACTGACCCACTTGTGGAGGTAAAGGTGGACCACGGTCAAAGTATGGGTCAGTATCTCGACCATTTTCCTGGGGGCTGTATTGATGTTGTTGCTGTTGGTCCCTGAACACAGTCTCTCTATAATGTGGTCTCTCATTGGATTGGACAGGTAACACATGTTCCTCAGCCTACAAGGTAGACAGGAGAATATGAACCAAATGTAATATAATTATATCACTCATCTTACCCATATTGTAAACTGTTGCTTCTTTGTACATCGCGGAAAGACTCTCCCCTCTGTGGCGGAGGGGCACCATACCCCTGACCACTATAATTGGGACCTCCATGACCATACTGATAGGTTGGATCTTCCATCTAAGGAAATCATGAAGAAAATAATGAAATGTGGGATATATGTATAGCTTTTGGTAGCCTAGTGATCAGTGAGAGTGTTCACATATCAATTCCCTATACTGGGCATCTACAGATATTTATCTAATTTAAGAATCTTAGACTGCATTTAAAATAACACTTTGTTTTTTCTTAATCAATAAAAATAAAATAAAAATAAATAAATCACTGCCATACTGATCCTACCTGCTGCACGCTTGTTATCATATCCCTCCCCCAAATCCCTCCCAGCCCTTGTGACAGTATGCCTCTGTCTTAGTCTTTGTTACTATGGTGATCACCACAACCAGTGCAGTTATAATACCCACAAGTAAATCAGTTACACCAGAAGGCATTATTTTAAACATGGCATTAGAACTGACCAATTCTTCAGCCCTGAGCACTATGTTTGTTTTTCTAGATAATATACCACATTGTGCCTCACCTTCTAATCACTACTATATTATTCTTTAGTAGTTATCAAAGTAGCCCGTTACATTTCATACAGTGATCAGTTTCACTTTTTCCAGTTAGTAATTGACATCATGTATCATGTCAACTAGTAATTATTATACATCTTAATAAATATCCAGTTCCCACTTAAGTAAAATTGTTACTTTTATTTTTATCATTTTTCTATTTTAAGCAGAAGCTTTGATTCTGAAATTCACTGTTAAATGTGCCTGTGATGTGATAAGGAGTGATTGCAAAAATCACAAGCAGAACTTCTGCATTAAATGTAATTAATTTTTTTATTATTTTAAGCAATAAGAAATCAATCGATGTCACAACAGTTTTGTCAAATACTGAGCAGGGGCTACTTGCTGCCAAAGACTTATCAAATATGAAGGAAGGGCGGGTCTAAGATTTTCCTGAAACTTCTCCACCTATTAATGTCAATCATACGATATCAATCCTGGTTAAACCCTGACCTCTATAAGATAAAGTTGACCTAATACTGAAAGGAAACAAGAAAAAGTTAAATAACATGTTCACATCTGCCATACTACTATACTACTCCCAGTTAGTAGTCTAGACAGTACAAATATTATTAAAACAGCTACAGACACTATTAGATCAGTTCATATTATTCTACAACCAATGTCTGCACTCCAACTAATATGTCCTTTCTTTATTTCTCCATTAACAATTTTAATCTGTAATTTGGCAAAGAAGAAAGATCTCGGCATTCCAGACCAAAAGACAGAACAATGATTTAATTTTGAGACACAGTCGGGGTGCAGACATATATGAGGTACTCCAGAGGCATCACCACAGGCCTACTCACTTGCCCCACTGCTCGAGTGATTTGTTCTTTATTACGTATCTGTGCAGCATGATTGGAAACAGCTTGTGCGATGGCAGAGTTAGCATCATCATCAAACTGTACCGGGCCGCCTGGCTGCCAGCCATCATAGAACCTTGGAACATAAGGAGGTACATAGCCTTTCCAAGCATCCCTGGAACAGAAGCAATTGCAGACTTGACAACATGACATTTGCAACTTTCAAATCAATATTGTCAGAGTACAAAGCTAACTTATAATCTTTTTAAATCCAATTTTTTTTTTAATTGGAGAACAAATCTACTAATTACCTAAAAGAAAAATTCACTGCCTAATGTCCATGTTTGAAAACTTAGAATGCCAGAAGAAGTGTATATCTCACAATATAATGCCTTTTATAAGACCTAGTAGTGTGTCTAGCTCACTCTAGGGTGTGGAAGACCAAACATCAATACATATTCTATCCATCACTTTATAAATATCCCATTGCTACTACCATTACCATTAGCTATTAATGCATTCATGTCAACCTCCAAACAGTCTACTAAACATGACACCAGACCCTGGGATATTATGTGCCACTGGTTGCTTTTGCCACATCTCTAAAATTGCACCTGCCCTGATCACAAACAAATTTGAAAAATTCCAAACTCCATTCTTCAAATCAGTATTCTAGTCTTGAAAAAGAGGTCAATGCCTTTGGTTTTATCACATACCTGTGTACACTCCACGGCTCTCCCAGGGACATCCAAAGGTCTATCTCCTTGGATGTCAGACAGTTAAGGAGGAGTTCCCGTGCATGCACTGTGAGCAGTGGAGAGATAACCTGGCTAGCGAGGTCCGGAGTTCCATGGCGGGGATCCTTGCTGGCCTCCACCACTAGACTTAGAGGGGTGAACAGGAAATGCACAAGTTCTGGAGCATTGGGATCATGGATATGTGCCTTCAACTTGGCCTGTGCACAAACGAAAATGTCAACAATTACAGGGCAACATCACCTAGCAAGTCTTTTAAATTTCTGACAGTACAGTCAAAGCTTAACAAAGTAAACAAAAAATTGCTTATTTTTAATCAGAATTTTATCATCATGTTCCAAAATCAAAACTTTACTCACCAACAAGTTGAAGGACAATTTGAATTTAGCAAATATGTCTATAAAGTCCTGTGGTGGAGGTGGGCGTGCTCTCATTGTCAGCATACCCTCTGAAGAACATACGTAAAAAGACTGTGTAATGACTTAATTCTTTCATACATCAGTTATTTATATCCATAGCAATATGTCACTTTCTCATTCTAAATATAAAAAAAATCTAAAATAAATAATAAATACATGCCTGCATCTTTCAGTCAGAAATACTGTCAATGCAAAATAAATCATTCAAACCATTATTACAATAATTGCTTTATAACAGAAATACATTACAACCAGCTGACACTTGACGAGTTAATGAGCTTACCTCCCATAACTTTCTTCTTTGATTTGCCTCTGTTTTTCTGTCTTCTGGAAAGTTCTTTGTATGCCTCTGCAGCAAACTGAAGTCGTGCTACAAACTTCTCTATGTCGTCAAAGCAGTGATTCAGTAATTGCTGAAACGGTAACAAAAAATGTCTTCATATATCATATCATACATCATATCTTATGGTATATATTTTATTTTTGCTTAAATTATATGTCAAGCATCATTTTTTCAAAACCACCCTTTCCCTTTGCTGCACAATATTTTGGCATGCTGAAAAACATACCACATCTCTTTCCGTCCTCTCACTAACAACAGAGTCATTATCATCCTCTCGTCTCATGACATTGGTTCTGGGCCCTCTGGGTACACCATAACCACCACCGTATGGTTCTCTGCGACCACGCTCTTCAAACATGCTGATGTGGTTGCGAACCTGCATGCCATTGGGAGGTTCTGGTGCAGGCTCAATGGGAGGAGGTGGGATACGTGGAGGTGGTCCTCTGGATGTATAATGAGTAAAATGAGAAAATGAGTATAATCAGAAAGTTGTACTTGTAATCATTATTTTCACTGGTCCTTAGATGGATTTGTAAAATGATTTTCTTGCATAGTACAACAGACACACACTGACATCCAAATTGCTGCTTTTATACTTGATATTCGATTTAAAACAGATCCTTTTCCAAAGTTGGTACAATATAAACCAGCAAAAACATTTCAGTCTTCCAGCTTGTTAACTAAGAATTGCTGATATAACACCAACAAGGCTATATAACCAACCTAGTGAGAAACAGTGGCAATGTAAATTCAACATTTAAAGCTGCATGAATATTTAATCTATACTTAATCAGGGAAAATAATAAGTACAAACAGCAATTTCAATAAGCCTTCTTAACCCGAACGTCAAAGTTGGTGCTTTATGTTGATACATTTTGGGAGTTCCTTCTTAAAGATTTTTCACAGACGTAAATTATTTAATTATATAACTTTGTAATCTTTGATTTGGGTCATGTTCAGGGCAGTACGCCCAAATTAATTACATCAGTCTAGTTTGTCTTTCTGAGTGATTGCTCTTACCCTGAAGATGGCCTGACTTTACCCATCTTTGCCACTTTTATATCATCTACAACCTCTTGTGCCTGCAAAAAAATGTACATAATGATTTTATTTCAGACTTTATAAATATATGGCCTGCTATTCATATGGTCTCTCTTTCGTTTTGATGATTTTATGACAATTCACTTTAAATATAAATGTCAAATCTCCCAGCCCTAAGACAATTATTTTAAAAAATTAACTGAGCTTACCGGCCTGGAGACACACTGGAATATGTGCATTTCTGATGGGTTAGAGTTCTTCTTCTTTGGGTCCTCTACAACTATGAACAGGACTATGTTATTGTAGATGTCTCTGCGGTCACTGCTGGACACTGCTGCTGGCTCACTAACCAAAGGGAGGGGGAAACGCTCCATTTCTTCCTGAATTACACAAATACACATATAAAAACTTGCAAAAAAAACAGACATTAGGAGTAAATAATTGATTTAAGTTGTTGCAACTGAACATATACTGATTCCGATCGTGACCTGTCCTAGGAGAATCAGTGATTGTACTGAAACACAATCTCATCTGTGACATATACAAACTAGTTGGATGAGTACAACACGTACTGTGAGAAAACCTGCTAGCATGCAGATAAGTGTGCTGCTCTGGAGACAGGTTTGTAGGTTCTTAGTTTGCTAGGAAACAAGTACACATCAAAAATATTCCAAACTGCACTTACTCCAGTCTGTCCATCTATGACCACTAAATGTTTCCTCTCTATCACCATGCGACATCTCATGGTCCAGATCCCAGAGTTCTGTTCCATTTGGCGAAGTTTGCGAATCCCATCCTCTGGGAACAATAAACCTGGAGAATGACAGCCAAACAACAAATCAGATAACCCTTTTCTCTGCTATACATAGAATGCATAAAGGCCTTAAGTAGGTCATTAAGGGTTTTGCCTTGTTCATCACTCTTCATCAGCATGAGAACAATGTTCATTAAAAGTGATTCTAATTCATTTACTGTTAAAAGAACAGAGGGAGGGATCTCAGAATGTCTGAAAACTTATCAAAGCAGAATTTATTACATGCTGTATGACTCATTCCAATATTTAGGAACATTTTATTAAATCTTCTCTTAATCTGAAAGTGAACAATCCCAAACCATATTATTTAAGGTTCATATTATTTACAAGTAAAGACTATGGTTAACTAAAAGTTATATCATATAATTTTACCTTCTCTGGATCCCACAGTAAATGTGGCCAAATGATCCATGTCATAAACTGGATTTCCAAATGGATCTCTGTCATCTCGTGCAGGCATTCTTTCAGACATCCTCTCAGGTGCTGAAAGTAATATAATGATACATTTACTGCTAAGCTCTACAAAAACTGTATACAATTTATAAGGGTACTCCAATATAATGTAAACGAGGGTTATAAAATATTTACTACATGAAGATGCTAAAATAACTTGCCCACAAAGAAGTTAACATACATGACATTAAGAAATAGTCAATATTGACCTCCCTTTATTATTTTTTTTTTACTTTTTTCCCAATTCTTTTGAAGTCAAGTTATACACACATGCAGTTTTTTAAACACGAAACAGGCCTTCAATTTGAACTCTGTCAATCTATATAAGCAGTCAACCATTATGACCTCGGTCCATTATGCACTTTAATGTTTGGCCTGATGACTTCTAAAGTTCAAAACCACCTCCCCAAGGACAAGATGGTACAAAGTGCAACTGACACAATATAATTTCGGCAACAAAAGTCATAACTATATTCATCTTCATTAATGGATAAGCAAGTCAACAAAAATCCTTCAAAGTAATTATTTGCTAATAGCTTTCATTTCTTAGAAAAGAAACCAGGACCAGACTTGTGTAATAATAGACAAGCTGAAGTTTACAAAAGATATGACAACACAATTATCAGAATTAAGGCTGCACCTTTTTATCAGAATTAAGTGTTGTTGCTGCAATAAAAGGTGTGTGGCATTTATAGCAGATTATCAGCTAACCACAACTTATTTATAATATGCAAAATAAAACAATGTCATTGCAAATCAGTTCTCTTATACACTCTTAAATTTCACTCAGTATCACAGGTTCATATACCCTCCCATTTGACAAAGCTGCTTTGACTTTCATAACATGGTCTCTGCTTGGCTACCTCCCAAATTGTATTCCATGAAACTCATGTTTCGATTATCACAAGTCTTTCCTCCTTTCCATCCTCATCATTAACATGGATAGCTGTGCCCTGTGCATAAACCCACCACTTGCACTAAAACCTTGGCTTTTATGTGTGGTGTTGCATGCCCTGAACTAGAGAGTAAACTACTCGATTCACAGAATGGTTAACTTTCATAGTAGTTCTGCCAGAGCAACAATCTATCTCGATAATTGGGAGCTATCCACCAAGACATGACATCCCTTGCTTGCTCTTCTAGAAATTTTAAACCAAACAGCTGGTGAATTGTCCTGGCTTTGTCCAGACACATTGCTGCAGTGACTAAATGCATTTGTATGATCAACATTTTGACACCCCTCCATGCCCCTCTGTCCATAGCTATTTGGCTTTTGATGCTAAGTGACACAATATGCACGAGGACACAGCTGGAAGGGAAGGAGCAGATGTTGTCTTCATTTAGACTTCATTTTACTTTTTGTTACTTAAATGACAGTCACATGAAACAAACCCAACAAAAATCCTTTTAATTAACCACCAACAACACAGATAATAAAATATCTCAATGTTTCACATTGTTTGGCAAAATTTGATACACATGTCACTTCAGTTGAAAATGACAATCTATCTAGGTAGAGACATATCTGTGAATATCCGTAAAAATCTATCAGTCGCCCTGGTAGAGGGTACACATGTTGTGTTTTCTCAATATATATCAAAAAGAGTTATTATAATCTGATTTGCTTTCATGTTTTTATTTGTCAGTCAAGGATAGAAATATTAAATCTGCACTAATTCACAGAGAATATATCCTATGCATTTAACCTTACGTTTCTATTGAAAATATTGCATGCTCTCCACAATACCTTCTTAACCAATTTCCTTTACTAGTATTCTTTCTTTCTGATTTTATCAGACTGACCTTAATGTGGTGTACAAAAAGTTGCCAACTTGGGTCATCACCTACTTCTGCTGCTTTGAACATATCTGATAAGCTTTCATAGAGCTCTACAGCATTCTCAAATTACCTGTTCCTTTATCTCCATTGCATGTGGAGTGATATTTACTGCATAATTTTTACACTTGTCGTGTGGGGATTTGATAACTTGACACACAAGTCAAAAAGAAATTTGTCACTAAAAACACTATCTCTACTGAGTAGTTACAGAGCCGAACTAGGGCACCTTGGATTTCACTTATTTTGTTATATCAGTCAGATATAAATTTTACCAAAAACCCAGACACAAGCACATTGAGTTGGTGCAGGGGTGGGGTGGGGGGTGGGGGGTGGGGGGGGAGAGGATATTCTCTTTAGAGTATAAATATGCATGGCATGATGTTGGAGTAAAGCTACAAATCCTGACCTAGGAAATTTCAAATTGTTTCAACTCCATTCAACTCTGGGGTAACAGACATCTAAAAAATTGCTCCATACAGTCATATGTGACAGATGCCCCTAACGTTCACCACAATCCAATATCAATGTCAAAACTGCAAGGTTAACAAAAATAATATATACTATTAACTCTGGTCTCTTAAAGTAAATGATCCCAAACATAACCAGGTCCCATGGCAGTGCTCCCATACCTGTGTTACCAAACCTAAGACAGAGGAGTTTATCAAAATTTGTGACAACAGAAGATAAGATAAACCAAAGAAACAAACAGACATGGTCTAACATTAACTAAGACTTAACTGTCTTATCTATTAAGCTAAAACACAAACTCATATCTCACCCCACCCAGCCTTACCTGCATACACAAACTACTTCAGTGTGAGAGGAAGAGCAAAGCATGTAACAAAAAATCTTAACTAAAAGTATGCAGATTTATATTATAATAATAAAAATCTTAATTTTTAAAACAGCTCTTAAGCATGTTAATTTGACTATCTATGGCACCTTTTGGGTTTTTTTTACTTTCCTTAATTAAGTAGAAATAGTAATGGATAGGTTATTTCTTTGTTCTAACTTGAAACAAATGCAATTTGAAAGGATTTGAAATACTATTACACCTGTTTATTTTGCCCCATGGTATACAAATACACTGTGTTTGTGTCCTGACATGTAACTATAATCAACCGAGCCGAAAGATTGATGACCCTGACAAAGTCTGTCAGGTAACAATGCCTGGGCTTGTTACCCAAGAGACCACAAAGAGTATTCCTAGCATGTGACATCCACCACATGGAATTCACCTGTTCTATATATTCACAATCATTTAACATCTTGATTATTTAAAAAAATACCATTAATAACATATACAATTAAGGAACATGTCACACCAGTTGAAACACATTCATTATAATCAAATGTTACCTCAACCAACCAAAGCACATTTCACACGAGAGCATTAAGATAGTTGATAAGTGTTTTGTATTTTTCATTGTATGTACCAAAACAAGACATTTGTCATTCTCTGCCATATGTTAGCTATATACAGTTTGGACGGGTACCAAGGCCAATATCAAGACATCTCCAGTACATTGACTGACAGCGTAAAATATAACATGCATGAAACAAGCAATTTGTGTCGCGAAGGAAGTTTCCTCCTTCATAAACAATAGTTCCTTACCCCCCCTGTACAGGATTGCAAAAATGAAGTAGTATCTACAGCTATACATGCATTAAGCCAACTGTTTCAATGTCCACTTCATTGTTACTTGTATTGCCAATTTGTGGTTTAAGATGTGGCTATAGTGTCTGCTTTACTTGATTAATAATTGTCCCTTATCCCCCAGGTCTTCTTCTAAATCTGTGTACACCCTGTGTTTAGGAGAACCATAAACACTGCTATCATTACCATCACCATCACCACACCAATTTGTGGTCACATTCAATACATAGTGCTTTCCTTAAAGTATAATTGTGATTATTGGAACTGACTTCTCTGCAGTTTCTATGTGTATACAGCCTCTTGGTGGTTATTCAGATCACTCTGAATAACAGATTCAGCAATAAATGGAATTTCAACTCTCTCTATGTATCAGTTTCTCTTAGCACTTTACCTGCCATTTTTAACCATCTTTGCCAAAATGAACACAGCTACAGGAAATAATACTGACCACTTCTCAAAGTGACAAATCAAAGGGGTCATGTCAAAGGGGAATAGAAGTGCCTTTTTATTTATATATTAATTGCATTCTATGGATATTTTTGGTATTTTTAATTGCTGTTATCTGTTCTACCACTTCTTTTTCAAAGTTACTTTTAAATGTCTTTTCCCAAAATTGTCATCTATTTATATGTAATCATAACTTACTGATAAAATTAAATTTAAATAATTCTGGTGCTCACCAGTGTTATATCCATTCTGGTAATCCATTTCCCTGGGTCTGTAGTTATAATCTGCGTGATTCACGCCATTCTGTTTTGATGAGCGGGCATACATGGGCTCTTCCCTGGGAGGATATGGATTTTCTCTTTAAAAAAATGTGCAAATAATAATTAAAGCACACATTCTAAAAAAACTTTAAGACCATGATTCTCAATTATTCATTAAGGAAGAAATTATTTGATCAGACTACAAGAATTTGATTATATTTCTTCAATAACACCTTATTTATGCAACCAAAGCAAAAACACAAAAATGTATAATGCTGTCTCTGTCTCAAACTCTTCCTACCTCATTCTGTAAGAATCTTCTCTGCCTCTGTATGCGTCATAGCCACTGGAAAGGAAAAAATAATAATTCTTAAGTTAAGATGAACAGCTCCAACACTCCTATCCAAGGTCCTGTTCAAGTCTTCCCTTCACCGCAGCTATTCAGAGTTACACCCCATAACATTCCTAAGGGACTTGCTTTGTGTAGCAAGATTTGACTATGAATGAGCGTCCCTCATGCACTTGGGATATTGGATTTCAATATGCAACTTACTGTTCCAACCATCAAACCAACTTCCCTCCAGTGACTCTTAATTTTTTCAGTCTCGAGTCGCCCTGTAGAAGGGCCTACTATCACCCACTGGTGCAGTATATCATCTGACATCAACATACATGCAATGTTTACACTGCAAATTGTTCTTTTTATTTTTCATACCAGGTGGAGGAAACGGGCTCCAATATGCACCTCTGTTTATTGAGGCAAGTTTAAGCAACTCTGTAAACAGAGCCCATGCAATACCACTTCAACTAAAATGCTTCCCTAACAGCAAAGAAGGCAAATACAGTGTATTTGCTTTCAAACCAGCCTGTTAGTGTCACAACAAGTATAATTTGTTCAAAAATATGCAATTTAAATAATATATCTTAAGTAAAAAAAGATTATATTCATATTCATCATCATTAACTGCTTCCATTAATATTACTCACTGGCCAAATTTAAGTCAGTTCATATTAACTTTTATTCTATCATCTGGTTTAATTTCAACACAGTAAATTGAAAGAGGCCAGTGATGTGACAAGGGTTTAAATTCTATCCTGTAGGTGTCTTGCCCAGCCTATGTTTATGAAATCTATCCGCAAATTTCTTTACTCAACTTTCTAACACATGACTGCCCTTATTCTTCTCTAATATCATTTCTTTGGGGCACATTCCATTATGACATAGATCTGCATGTATCAACCCCCTAGTGAATAACAATACTTGAAAAGAGAAATGGAAACCTTGCTTAATGAAAATATCTCTATCCATATTCGGTTTTCATACAAAATAACATAAACAATACATAAAACACATGCATGCCTTTAGACTGTTGCTTTACATTAATATGTGCATTCATCAATTGGGCATTAAGAACATTGGTCAAGTGGTCTTGCTCTCAGACACCTTGCCACAATAGGTAGCTTGCAGGATAAAAACCTCTTCCTGTTATATTAATACTTCAACATAAAAATTCATATCTATTACTTTATTTAAAACAGACTTTCTGCATAAATGTAAACCATGGATACTTTTATCAAAATTACTGTATCTAGGATTTTCATGCCAAATCGAATTTTCTACAAGAAAAAACTTTTTCCTACTCAAAATTCCTTGCTTGGCCTGTCCCTGAATTTGACGTTTTGTACAATTAAAAAAAAATATTCAGTTCTAAATGTTTCATGTAATATCAAGACCACCATCCATCAACCTGGCATTTCACAAGACGTACTGCAAAGAACTGGGAATGACATGGTAAGAATCAAGGGCTCAGATGGAACTATCATCATCAGGTACACTTCAGATAAACTTTTGTTCTACGAGTTTTATTGTCTTTAAAGATATGAATTAGTAAAGATAAGAAGCTCTGCAGAATAAAAATGACTTTTTCAAATACATCCAGGATACCTAAATTTATTAAGATAATTTCAGATAATTCCAATGTTATCACTTTTTTTACAAAATTTACCTTATAACATCACAAATAGACAGAACACAATAATTTTTGGTTTTCACTTATAGCTGAAATAGGTAATTTAGATAAAAATCACCAGCAAACGCTTAACAGAAAATTGTCACAGAGAAAAAATTGAGGAAAACAGATTTCAGAAAAGATGCTTACTAAAATTTTAAAATCTTATTTGATAGACATGACTTACTTTTCCTGTGGCTGTCCATACCCATACATATCATTACCACGTTGCATGACACCTGGCATAATTCATCACTAGAAAACTAGAATGAGAAAAGGAATAATAATTATCCTGTAACAGAGAATTTCTTCAACAAAGTAACCTTTGGTTATGTTAAGGTACACCACTGCTGCAGCAACACATTTATCATAAACACAATATCGAAGGTTCTACGTGAGGCTATCTACATGCAATATTTCAATGCTAGAGGTTTAATTCTGACTTCAGCAACCCCGTTATATTGCTTCTCATGTCAAAAGTATTTCTGACTGCTTTAGACAAATAAACAGCGCCTTAAAACCAAATACAATACCAAACAGGATACCTGTAAATGCACTGTAAACTATGTGACAATGTTATCAAATAGATTATACCTTTATTCCAAGAACAGACATAAACCAGCCCTTATCAACCATTTATCAATAAAACACCTGTTTACCCTATCCAAAGACATACTAAAAACTTAAAGGTTAAAGTCAAATTTCTATGCTATATTTTATATACACTTTTTGGTTATTTTTTCTAATAAAGAAAATTACTTCATGTTTTTGATTAAGCAAAAATAAGTAGTTTGTTCACTTTTCAATCAAAATATTAACCCACAACAGCAGTAAGATGGTAGAAATTCAACACTTGCAAGATAAAACCATGACATACAATTGTGTAAACCTACATAAGTTGTGAGGCAGGTATAAGGAACTGGAAATCTTTCATTATCTTCTACTTTCTTAATTTGTGAATTCACAATTTATAACTGTCTTAGACTATTTGAAATTTCAACAGAATGCACAAGTATTAGAACTCACTGAGACTCTTTGCAGAAGCACTATGTAATATCCCCTAAAAGGTAGAGCTTATTCTACCTATGAACATTGTCTTTAAGGGAGATGGACTTACACAATCAAATCTATTCATCAAAGGTAACCGCATTTCTAGCTTCTACCTGTAATATCTGATTATGTTCCTTCTATTCTCTTCTCTACCACTGCACAACTTTGCCCTATTTTGTTTGGGTCACATTACCCTTAATAAACTATGTTTATCTACAGCCAAAGTGTCAACAACCCTTTTTGCTTCAAATTCATTTTCACGGTTATGTCAACATTCTATAGCTAATACAGTAGACTTGGATGCACCGACCTTAGCATGACACACTGAGAACTGAGAGGGCAAGTCACTTCTATACCAAGGTCTTAAACATCTGTCATCACTTGTATCACTGTTCAACCCTACTGTTGAGAACATGAAGACCCTCTTGGTAACTCAACAAGTCATGCTTGATTATCAATAACTATTTGTTAAAGATAGGCCACACCCAGAGATGTCTAAGACATAAGTGTACGAGAAATCCAATATCTTTTTCTCACTGAAATACATGTACCTGATTTCTGTACGTTTAACAATAGGGGAGCTCTCCACCCAAATTACTCACCAACCTTTTGAAATAACTAATCACATGCTCATGGATGATTGTGAAATACTAGTAAAATTTGTTTACTTAGAATATGTATGAATATGTATGGTTAAAAGATTTAAATTTTATCTAATAATTGATTATATTCATGATATTAAGTTAAAGGCTATATCATGATATACATAATGTATATCAACACAAACTATTATTGCAGACTTATGGTCAATATATGAACCAGCTGAAATGTTTTTCATATAAAGTATGTCAGTAAATTAGCACGACCAAGTTACTTATTATCAAATATATTAACATAGCCCATCAATAGTAGACAGGTGACTAGAAGACCATTAATATACATTTCATAACCTCATATATGAGGAAAAGAACACAAAACAATATGCAGTGTTATTAACCATACTGTTTCCATCCCATATATTGAGGGAGAGGGCTAGAGCTACATCTGCCTTTAAAATTTTTCATAAACACGTGTTCACTTAAGGCATTCCATAACACATTTTCTTCTTTAATGTTTTTTCATCCACATTCTTTGGCAGATTGACTATGTGACCCAATAACAAGTATCCAATTGTTAGGCAGATGAAAAACAAGGTGACACTAAAGTCAAATCTACAATCACAAATGGCACCAGCATCATCATAGACTGGCACAGCCCTGTACCTTTTAACAACTAGCACCCCCTTCCATAATATCACTGGATACTAAAAACAGAACTGAAAACAGATTTTATGTATGTCATTTTCACTTTCATCCGGTTATGTGGAGGTGCAAATATTATGTAAACTATAGTTATCAACCCCCTTATCATAATATCTGCTGAGGTAATTATAAAGGAATTATGCCTCTAATTCATACTTTCCTATATTGTTTCACTATCATCCAAAGATAACAATCAAATTTCATCCTCTTACGGTCCTTCAACTGACCCTCAGTGGTTGCAAGGTAGCACAACAAGAGTCCTTGTTCACTGAAACAATACTTACTTATCTAAGCTTTAGGTACATATAGTTTCCCTTATGGGACCTGCACATTACTGAATTCTAGCTTACAGGCATCCAGTGGGTTATTTCTAGCTTGTTCAATGTTTTAGACACAAACAGAATAAATATTTTTACACATGATATTTCACATATTCGGTCTTTTTAATATCAACCCAACTAATCGTTCATAAACAAAGCTGTGTTCAAATTATAATTAATTCACCGATTCAAAAAAGTGCCACAGTTACACTTAAAGCACTAGTGTTTTGAACCTTCAAGTAATATCTTCAATCAATAACCAAAGTAATTATGTAACAAAAAGGCCTTACAATTATGGTAATCAATTTTGCAATATGAGAGTTGAATAAAAAAGAATTTCAGGCATTTTTATCATAATACTATTAATTTCACAGTGGCACTACCATCAGATGTTTAGCTAAATGGGTGGCTTAAATAAAATTTGCTTATTATTAAAAGATTGAAAATTAACTAAATAAATAACCATTGCAATTATAAAACAGAGATACATACAAATTTTTGTTTGCCACATTTTGCTTCTTTTCTGAAAACAATAACTAGTCAGAATGGAAAAAGCTACACTGATGTTTATGTAGAACTCTGATATTAGTAATCCATTAAATTGCTTTTAGATAAAAAGCTCAACAATATTGGTCAAATATGAATTACAACCAGTATCATATTATAAATGACAAATATCAAATAAAAGCAGAAAAACAAAAATGCCCGATGCTACATCAAACAGAACTAACATTCAGATGACCTGATATGCAGATCTACTAAAATATATAGCATCTGATATGCACCAGACTGGGAATTTTTTTCTCTTTGCCAAATCACCCCTTTTCATCACTTTTTTCTCCACATGATTTGAATTTGACTGAAACAAGTCAAATCAACCATTTTTTGTTAGCCAACTTAAGTCACTTTTAGCATTTGGCTCAATTGAATTGATGAGTGTTAGCGCTAACCCAGCCAGAGTTCCTTTGAAGTCATTAAAACAATTTTTGGGCCCTTATGAAATTGTTCTCAATACCACTGCCAACCAAAATTTAGCTGTCTTGTTTCAAAAAAGTCATGCCATACAATCAAGTATTTAGGACTGCTCACAACATTTTCTTTAAAATTTACTTCAGGCAAGTCACTTCCATAGTCTAAAACTCAGTTTGTATTTCTACGCTGATGCATAAATATTTCTGATGCATAAAATTTCTTACCTTCCAGTATGAAGGAAAAAATGTTGATTTTATTCATCATGCAACCCCCATATAACAATAAGTGGCATTTTATTCCTTGTCTCAGTTCTTTGACTCCATGACATTAACCTTAACAACATGTATAGCAGGAGCTAGACTTTGATGTATGAGTTTGAAATCTGACCACATTCTTAATCATTAACTTAACAATAATTCTATCATGAACTCCCAAGTCTGGGATTCACAGGAGTTAAGTAGTGTCTCTAAAGTGCCCTCTAGTAAATGATGATGTCAAGGTTAATACATTGCATTGCTGACATAAGTCATAAAAGTCAAAAGTGCTGTAAGTAAGAATGCATCACATGAAGACATGTGAGCCTCCCACGATTTATCAAAGAAATACTATTTTTAAAGTAGTGCAACCATTTTTTACCAAATACACCACCTGAGTCAGACCGCAGAAAGGAACAGTATAATAATAATAAAGAACAAAAATATAATCTGGACCATCATTAATCAAACTTTCCCAAATTTATAAATTAGTGGATGTATATCTCATATGAGATAAAACTGTCAAACTGTATTAAATAAGTACTTGTGCATCTATATCATCTTTTATAACTATTCTTGTTTAATTAAAATAGAATGTGTGCTACGTGAAAGCAAAAACCAGGGTATCATATGTCAAAACTAGAAGCAAGAAGTATGTACTCTTAACTAGAGGTAAACGTTACAGAACATAAACCTAAAACTACGACTTTATGGACAACCACCTGTTGGAATACAATTAACTTACAACACTGGGAATAGTCCAAGCTTTCATAAAGAGTTCTTTATATATACACCATTTCAAACAGCTTTTAAACAAGACGTTGTTATCCTTGCCAAGATTTCAAAATATAGTTTTGTGTCCCTGAATTTATCATAAAATGTTTTAAAGTTGAACTTGTGAAATAAACACCTGATAATTCAAACAGCTTTACATTTCAGTTGAATGCGAGTACTATAACATCTACGCATTTACCAGTAGTGGACGTATGTGTTCATAAGTATAACTATTTGATGGCAAAATTTATCACATATTTTAACCTACATAAATCATACTCCAACTAATCACTATACCCTACTCACAGTTAGCTCTAAGATGGCGGGACTTGAAAAAACTTTTTTCCTCCGAGTCGACTCCAGCAGTAAGGTTCTTTTTAAAGCACCCTGTATAATGACCGCTGATCCGCACAACTTTCAGCACAAGTTGGTCAATCACTCTAAAACGGAGATACAATGATCCGGAGTGACGTGCCTAATTTATAATACAAATATAAATGTAAACATTTGCCTCGCAATCACACTATGCTTGCCTCAGTTCTATTTGGAATATGGGCGAGGTTAGGGCTGTTCCATCAACCTCCCCTTTTGCAAACATAACAACATTTTACTGCAGCCTTTAGAACCATCAAATAATAAAGCAAATGTGTCTTTTCCTATGCAAATATCCATCTATTTATATTTCTAAAACTAAAATTGGACTGTAAAACAATTGTTTAAATATCTCACCAGAGGGTGGGATAAAGAATGCCCAGTCACATGTACTAACAAGGTGAAGGACGTTCTTTTGGAAGTGGAGAACGGAAAATAAATTACAAAAATCGCCAGGTTGGAAGGAAGCTCAAGCGAGACGTGTACAAAATAAATCGAATAGTGTTTTACAAACTAGCTTTACATTTTGACCAGGAGAATGCGGCGAGCACATGCCGGTAAGAACTCTATGAGGTAGACAGTCTGGAATGATTGTCTGAATGTAATCGTTCCAGTGGTTAAAAAGATAAAAAAAGACAAGTTGCAGTTGCCACGGTGCAAAGGCATCTTCACTCTTAAATTGAGTTCAAAAGTCACACGTCCAGAAACATCAATTCAAAATATTTTTAATTAAAAGGGCCCTCAGATTATAAATATATCAAAGATGAATTCACTAGGTTATGAAACGATACGTGTATTAAAATTTTTATTAACTATAAATTTTGTGTTACAAAATTCATATCTGTGGTGTGCATCTGAATCGTGGAGATGTTATTATATACACCTCTCTTGCATTTGTTATTATTGTAGTCTAACCAAAGGTACAGGTGGTAACATTGTTCCCTATTTGACCAATATACTCTTTGTATATCTCCTACTTTACCCTGTTACTATTTGATTTGTTGGCAGTCCTATTTTACACTGTATGATGTGTAAAACTGGTATTTGTGCTGAGGCATGAAATATTTAAGGGCCTATAACTGTAAAATGATGAACAGCTAACAACTCAGCTGCTTGTCGGCGGGTCACAAATCTTCTGCTTACCACTCCCCTCCCCAAGTCGCGCTCTCCTGAAATAAAAAGCCTGCCAGTCTCTAGTGCATCTACAATGCTGTGAATAAGTTCACATTTATCTTCTTGTCTACCAGTTATGCTGCCATGAAATTGTATACCCATTGTGCATTTCTAGCTTTCAACAGGTCTTTTTTTATTTTAGGGGATGGCTCATATGGACAGTCACAAATGATAGAAGAGGAAAATGACAGCTTAACAAACAGTTTGTCAGACAAAGTTAAAGCTCTAAAATCAGTATGTTATTATAAGTTACACTTTTTGCTTGTCTTAAGATTTAAACATTTTTGAATTTCAGATGATTGTACATTTTCCTAGACAAAGGCAGATACTCCCCAACACCTTAATGATCTGATTGATTGATTTCTTTATGAAGAGGAGAATTAGAGATAATTGTATTCAGTAGATCAGTAAGTTGAATAAGTTACTTGTGAAAAATGATTTTCAACAATACTCATAGTATGATAACAAAATTCTTTCTTTACCATTCTCATTTCAGTTAACAATAGACATAGGGACAGAAGTCAGAGAGCAGAATAAATTCTTAAATGATTTTGTAAGTGATGCATCTGTAGTTTTGAATATTATATAATGTTATTATTGTACAAGTGTATTACAAAATGCTTCCAGATAAATTTACACTCTGCTTGATCTGGTGTCATTGCTGTTGTGTTTAATCTATGATTACTGATTTTTTCCATGGCTATATACTCACTGTTTCAATCACGTATATTGATAGGGATGATAATTACTTAAATGATTGTATCGAAGAATTATCTCTTTTTTTCAAGAATTATGTTGCAGCATTTTTTTTATTTTGAATATTTGTGATGAACAGTTGATTTTTCTGTGCAGTATAGACTTTGAAATCAAAAACAATATACTATGCCTTAGAAACAGTAGACATATTCTATAATACTGTATTATTATACATTCTAATTTTACATGCGACTACCTTTTTAGTAACATAATTTTGTAACATTCTGTTTTCTTTAGGATAACGATATGGATAATTCTAGTGGCATATTGGGTGCCACAATGGGACGATTGACTGCAATGGCAAGAGCAGGACACAACAAGTTTATTTGGTACCTGCTGCTCTTTTCACTCTTTGTTTTCTTTGTACTTTGGCTGATTATAAAAACAAGATGACAACTGGGCAATAAAAGCAGTATTCAGCAATATATTTATGTATATGTATTTTCTGGAATTGTAACAAGAAATGAGACAAGTTTATTAAGGAACATCACCAAACAGTACATTCACTGTTTGGTGATCACAAAGAATGAAGTTTTCCCTGGTGCTTATTATTTATTTTGTAATAGTTGATAGTGACATCTTGGTCATCTGTTTTCTAAACAGGCATTACATCTTTGTGTCATGTGGAATTGTTTGTATGGAATAAGAACTACTACTCAATGTTTTTTAGAATTTATTTATTTGTTTAACAACAACAAAAACCAAGGAAAAAGAAGATAATAGTGATTAAATGGTAATTAAAAACATCCCAAATTTGTTTTAATTGACCGTCTCATCCTTCAAACTTTGAAATTTAAACTGACTGTTGTGCATTTCTGTTTGTTACATACACAATATGCCATAACCTTTGAGATAAGACTCTCAAGTAATAAATCTAAGACAAGCTTATATTCACTTGTATGCTATTCCTAATGCTAATTTTAGAATTATATAGCTGTCCTTATTATGTAAGAATTACTTGAAATAAATATTTTTCTATTTAATTGTAAAGTTCAAAACGGTATCAGTACTTAGCCATTCTATGCATGAATGTTACTAATATTTAATGGAAAAGTTATAATTTTATAAATCAAGAATTTAAGAATTTTTTTTTTAATTACAACTTCAAGATTACAAACTTGAAGAATCTAAAGATTACAGCCAAAGTGCAATCAACTTTTACCTCCATGAATAATGATTTTGTCAAACAACAAATGTAATAAATAACTTAACAAAGTAACAATTTCAAAATAACATAACTAGAACATCAAAACAGTGCAATTCAAAATGTTTAAATTCCTAATTATATAAAATATACTATATTACATTAATGGGACCAGTAAAAATGGAACTCTTTCTTACTCTTTTGATTAAGTTGGTGATCCCTGGTTGTTTGGGCTGTTATAATTCATTGCCAAGTCGAGTAAAACTTGAGCTATTTCTTGTTGCTCAGCATCTCTAAGAAGAGGAGTGGTAGGTGTGTCATGTTGTCTTGCATCTTTATGTATCTTCATCATGTGCCCTTTCTCCATCTTTCTCCTAAAATATAAGTATGCAAACTAGTTTGAAGAAGATTATTTTGTCTGAAGTAGAAAGAAAGGTTTACTTTATTCCTGTTTTGTAAATAGTAGATGATTCAGCTTTAATCTTGACTTTACAGTGTTTAAATTTTAAGAATAAGATATTATCATTACTTAAAAAGTATATAATAGAAACCTTTTGTTTTCATTGTTTTTGGTTCTAAAAATTGTCTCTGTTTCTAAAGTCGGGTTTTTGCCAGGACTTTGAGTGTGGTGCCTCTTTGAGAAGTTGGGGACCATTTGTAACAGCTCTGAGTCCTGCTCCAGTTTTTTATCAAGATCCATAGCTTCCAGTCTGTTCATTGATGTAGTAGGCCCATGAGTCCCAGCCTTCAGTGGTGACTGGTAGAAAGGAGCAATAGTATATGGCTGGTAGACTGAGAGTGGAGTATTTGGTTTTTTTTGTGTGGATAGTGTTTCTGGTGTAGATCTGGTTGACATCTTACCAGATGGGGTGAACTTAGGCTTAGATCTGTGGCTATCTTTGCTGTGGTGTACACTACTGGATTGGTAAGTGGATGGAGATGGCGTAGCGACTCCATTCCATCCCTCTAATGTACATTGTGTGATATTAAAGTTTGGTAGTGTTGTCACATCCTGTACCTGAACTGACTGGTCTGACCCAGTGAAACCTGTAGCCAGTGGTTGATCTAAGGGTGCTGAACTTGCATCTCCTTCATGTAGGGTTTCAGAAATTGTCATAGGACTTGTAACTGAACCATCACTGCATGTGGCAGTCAACTGTGTGGTTGGGTTACTCAAGTGTGTGATGGAGTCCGCTCTGCTAGTCACCAGGGTCCTTTCTTCAGCATAAGTGATAAAAGGTTGGGTAGAAAAGATATTGCTATGATCGAGCAGGGTAATTGGTTCACTTTCATCCTGGGCAGTTTGGCCTGTAGAAATGTCATCCAAAAGTACCTCTGTTAAGTCCAAAATTTCCAGTTGAAGCTGATCTGGTTCCTTCATTCTTCTGACATTTAAATTGCTTATGTTGAGGACATATGGGACTGCATGATCTGACAAGTCCGAGCTAGCATCTGGAGGGGTGTTTTCAGGTTGCTTTTGTGGCTCACAAACTGTTGAACAGGGGGTTTCTTGGTAACTCATTGCTGTAATAAATGGGCTTTCCCAATCACCCTGGTAGTCGTTTTTTTGAAAATCTGTAGTTGCAGCCTGAAAGCTGTTATCTTGAAGCACAGCAGGCTTCTCCTCATGGCTATTTTTCTGAAGGAATGCAGGATCTCTTGGGCATGTGTTCCCTTGTAAGACTGCTAAATTCCCTCGGAATGGGATACTTTGTACTTTCAGACCCTGCTGTGAATGTGGAGCCACCAGTTCTTGATGATCCTTGCAATATGCTACATCTTGTAGATTTTGAACTGTTTTAGAGGTTGATGCTTCAAATAAGCCTCCAGACTGAACCTGGTGCTGCTGGAAAATTGGCTCGTATATATATATATATATATATATATATATATATATATATATATATATATATATATATATATATAGTTTTTATTTAAACAATTAATAGAATTAATTCTTGAAGAATTATAGAATAAAAAGAATGTCAATAGCTTCACAAGACAAAAAAGTAAATGAGACAATACTAGTAAATGTTTATTTAAATATTGTGTTTTGTACATGTAAACACAGTTTTCACCAAATAACATCATAAGATTTTTTAAAAGATCAAAATTGCTAAATGCTATAAATGGAAATTTGTAATTTACCTCAGTGTTTGTTGTATGAATTTTATCTTTTTGATTGATGATGGAAGCTCTAGTTTCCTGGAAAAGTTTCTTCTTTTTGCTTTTCATTTGCCTTCTAGCATTTGCAAACCATGTCTTTACCTAAAATATGAAAGAACCATAGAGCAGCTTAAACTTGTGTATACTTGATGCACATTTCCACCACTTCAGAATGTTTTCAAACCTCTTCAAATGTTTAACTGCAAAACTTACAAACAAAAAACATTAAGTAAATTAATGCTTTTGCCAATTTACATGTTCACCCATTTTGACAAACTTATCTATTTATCATTTTCCCATCCTAAATTTACCAGATGTTAAAATTGCATTCTTTTGAACCCTCTTACAATACCTTAGTCAAAAAATATTTAATTTCTTTTTATGTACAGACACAGATGTGTCTGTACATATTGCCATCACCTGCGTTTGTCGTCACCGTCGCCGATCATGTCGCCGTCGCCGTGCACTTTCAGCGTTAACACCATAAGTGGAAGACAGTTTTACTTTTTGGCTTTATATTTACAGAGCTGACTAATATTCATAAAACGCAGGCCAAGTTCGAAAATCAGCATGATCGGGCCATTATTGTAGAATTTATGCTGTTTTTTTCACTTTTTAGCATATATGCAACACTGTTAACACATTTCAAGGTAAACCAATAGACCTGTTGTCATGAAACTCACAGGAGTAATCAATCTTACTAAAACGCAGATCAAGTTTGAAAATCGGCATGATCGGGCCACTATTTTAGTAGTTATGCTGTTTTTTTTCACTTTTCAGCATATGTGCAACACTGTTAACACATTTCAAGGAAAACCGNTATATATACCATTTTCAAACAGATTTTAAACAAGACGTTGTTATCCTTGCCAAGATTTCAAAATTTAGTTTTATGTCCCTGAATTTATAAAATGTTTTAAAGTTGTACTTTTGAAATAAACACCTGATAATTCAAACAGCTTTACATTTCAGTTGAATGCGAGTACTATAACATCTACGCATTTACCAGTAGTGGACGTATGTGTTCATAAGTATAAATATTTGATGGCAAAATTTATCACATATTTTAACCTTCACAAATCATACTCCAAATAATCACTATACCCTACTCACAGTTAGCTCTAAGATGGCGGGACTTGAAAAAACTTTTTTCCTCTGAGTCGACTCCAGCAGTAAGGTTCTTTTTAAAGCACCCTGTATAATGACCGCTGATCCGCACAACTTTCAGCACAAGTTGGTCAATCACTCTAAAACGGAGATACACTGATCCGGAGTGACGTGCCTAATTTATAATACAAATATAAATGTAAACATTTGCCTCGCAATCACACTATGCTTGCCTCAGTTCTATTTGGAATATGGGCGAGGTTAGGGCTGTTCCATCAACCTCCCCTTTTGCAAACATAACAACATTTTACTGCGGCCTTTAGAACCATCAAATAATAAAGCAAATGTGTCTTTTCCTATGCAAATATCCATCTATTTATATTTCTAAAACTAAAATTGGACTGTAAAACAATTGTTTAAATATGTCACCAGAGGGTGGGATAAAGAATGCCCAGTCACATGTACTAACAAGGTGAAGGACGTTCTTTTGGAAGTGGAGAACGGAAAATAAATTACAAAAATCGCCAGGTTGGAAGGAAGCTCAAGCGAGACGTGTACAAAATAAATCGAATAGTGTTTTACAAACTAGCTTTACATTTTGACCAGGAGAATGCGGCGAGCACATGCCGGTAAGAACTCTATGAGGTAGACAGTCTGGAATAATTGTCTGAATGTAATCGTTCCAGTGGTTAAAAAGATAAAAAAAAAAAACAAGTTGCAGTTGCCACGGTGCAAAGGCATCTTCACTCTTAAATTGAGTTCAAAAGTCACACGCCCAGAAACATCAATTCAAAATATTTTTAATTAAAAGGGCCCTCAGATTATAAATATGTCAAAGATGAATTCACTAGGTTATGGAACGATACGTGTATAAAAAATTTTATTAACTATAAATTTTGTGTTACAAAATTCATATCTGTGGTGTGCATCTGAATCGTGGAGATGTTATTATATACACTTCTCTTGCATTTATTATTGTAGTCTAACCAAAGGTACAGGTGGTAACATTGTTCCCTATTTGACCAATATACTCTTTGTGTATCTCCTACTTTACTCTGTTACTATTTGATTTGTTGACAGTCCTATTTTACACTGTATGATGTGTAAAACTGGTATTTGTGCTAAGGCATGAAATATTTAAGGGCCTATAACTGTAAAATGATGAACAGCTAACAACTCAGCTGCTTGTCGGCGGGTCATAAATCTTCTGCTTACCACTCCCCTCCCCAAGTCGCACTCTCCTGAAATAAAAAGCCTGCCAGTCTCTAGTGCATCTACAATGCTGTGAATAAGTTCACATTTATCTTCTTGTCTACCAGTTATGCTGCCATGAAATTGTATACCCATTGTGCATTTCTAGCTTTCAACAGGTCTTTTTTTATTTTAGGGGATGGCTCATATGGACAGTCACAAATGATAGAAGAGGAAAATGACAGCTTAACAAACAGTTTGTCAGACAAAGTTAAAGCTCTAAAATCAGTATGTTATTATAAGTTACACTTTTTGCTTGTCTTAAGATTTAAACATTTTTGAATTTCAGATGATTGTACATTTTCCTAGACTAAGGCAGACACTCTCCAACACCTTAATGATCTGATTGATTGATTTCTGTATGAAGAGAAGAATTAGAGATAATTGTATTCAGTTGATCAGTAAGTTGAATAAGTTACTTGTGAAAAATGATTTTCAACAATACTCATAGTATGATAACAAAAAATTCTTTACCATTCTTATTTCAGTTAACAATAGACATAGGGACAGAAGTCAGAGAGCAGAATAAATTCTTAAATGACTTTGTAAGTGATGCATCTGTAGTTATGAATATTATATAATGTTATTATTGTACAAGTGTATTATAAAATGCTTCCAGATAAATTTACACTGTGCTTGATCTGGTGTCATTGCTGTTGTGTTTAATCTATCCATGGCTATATACTCACTGTTTGAATCACGTATATTGATAGGGATGATAATTACTTAAATGATTGTATCAAAGAATTATCTCTTTTTTTCAAGAATTATGTTGCAGCATTTTTTTTTTTTTTTTTTAATATTTGTGATAAACAGTTGATTTTTCTGTGCAGTATAGACTTTGAAATCAAAAACAATATACTATGCCTTAGAAACAGTAGACATATTCTGTAATACTGTATTATTATACATTCTAATTTTACATGTGACTACCTTTTTAGTAACATAATTTTGTAACATTCTGTTTTCTTTAGGATAACGATATGGATAATTCTAGTGGCATATTGGGTGCCACAATGGGACGATTGACTGCAATGGCAAGAGCAGGACACAACAAGTTTATTTGGTACCTGCTGCTCTTTTCACTCTTTGTTTTCTTTGTACTTTGGCTGATTATAAAAACAAGATGACAACTGGGCAATAAAAGCAGTATTCAGCAATATATTTATATATGTATTTTCTGGAATTGTAACGAGAAATGAGACAAGTTTATTAAGGAACATCACCAAACAGTACATTCACTGTTTGGTGATCACAAAGAATGAAGTTTACCCTGGTGCTTATTATTTATTTTGTAATAGTTGATAGTGACATCTTGGTCATCTGTTTTCTAAACAGGCATTACATCTTTATGTCATGTGGAATTGTTTGTATTATGGAATAAGAACTACTACTCAATGTTTTTTAGAATTTATTTATTTGTTTAACAACAACAAAAACCAAGGAAAAAGAAGATAATAGTGATCAAATGGTAATTAAAAACATCCCAAATTTGTTTTAATTGACCGTCTCATCCTTCAGACTTTGAAATTTAAACTGACTGTTGTGCATTTCTGTTTGTTACATACACAATATGCCATAACCTTTGAGATAAGACTCTCAAGTAATAAATCTGAGAGACAAGCTTATATTCACTTGTATGCTATTCCTAATGCTAATTTTAGAATTATATAGCTGTCCTTATTATGTAAGAATTACTTGAAATAAATATTTTTCTATTTAATTGTAAAGTTCAAAACGGTATCAGTACTTAGCCATTCTATGCATGAATGTTACTAATATTTAATGGAAATGTTATAATTTTATAGATCAAGAATTTAAGAATTTTTTTAAAATTACAACTTCAAGATTACAAACTTAAAGAATCTAAAGATTACAGCCAAAGTGCAATCAACTTTTACCTCCATGAATAATGATTTTGTCAAACAACAAATGTAATAAATAACTTAACAAATAACAATTTCAAAATAACATAACTAGAACATCAAAACAGTGCAATTCAAAATGTTTAAATTCCTAATTATATAAAATATACTATATTACATTAATGGGACCAGTAAAAATGGAACTCTTTCTTACTCTTTTGATTAAGTTGGTGATCCCTGGTTGTTTGGGCTGTTATAATTCATTGCCAAGTCGAGTAAAACTTGAGCTATTTCTTGTTGCTCAGCATCTCTGAGAAGAGGAGTGGTAGGTGTATCATGTTGTCTTGCATCTTTATGTATCTTCATCATGTGCCCTTTCTCCATCTTTCTCCTAAAATATAAGTATGCAAACTAGTTTGAAGAAGATTATTTTGTCTGAAGTAGAAAGAAAGGTTTACTTTATTCCTGTTTTGTAAATAGTAGATGATTCAGCTTTAATCTTGACTTTACAGTGTTTAAATTTTAAGAATAAGATATTATCATTACTTAAAAAGTATACAATAGAAACCTTTTGTTTTCATTGTTTTTGGTTGTAAAAATTGTCTCTGTTTCTAAAGTTGGGTTTTTGCCAGGACTTTGAGTGTGGTGCCTCTTTGAGAAGTTGGGGACCACTTGTAACAGCTCCGAGTCCTGCTCCAGTTTTTTATCAAGATCCATAGCTTCCAGTCTGTTCAATGATGTAGTAGGCCCATGAGTACCAGCCTTCAGTGGTGACTGGTAGAAAGGAGCAATAGTATATGGCTGGTAGACTGAGAGTGGAATATTTGGGTTTTTTTGTGTGGATAGTGTTTCTGGTGTAGATCTGGTTGACATCTTACCAGATGGAGTGAACTTAGGCTTAGATCTGTGGCTATCTTTGCTGTGGTGTACACTACTGGATTGGTAAGTGGATGGAGATGGTGTAGCGACTCCATTCCATCCCTCTAATGTACATTGTGTGATATTAAAGCTTGGTAGTGTTGTCACATCCTGTACCTGAACTGACTGGTCTGAGCCAGTGAAACCTGTAGCCAGTGGTTGATTTAAGGATGCTGAACTTGCATCTCCTTCCTGTAGGGTTTCAGAAATTGTCATAGGACTTGTAACTGAACCATCACTGCATGTGGCAGTCAACTGTGTGGTTGGGTTACTCAAGTGTGTGATGGAGTCCGCTCTGCTAGTCACCAGGGTCCTTTCTTCAGCATAAGTGATAAAAGGTTGGGTAGAAAAGATACTGCTATGATCGAGCAGGGTAATTGGTTCACTTTTATCCTGGGCAGTTTGGCCCATAGAAATGTCATCCAAAAGTACCTCCGTTAAGTCCAAAATTTCCAGTTGAAGCTGATCTGGTTCCTTCATTCTTCTGACATTTAAATTGCTTATGTTGAGGACATATGGGACTGCATGATCTGACAAGTCAGAGCTAGCATCTGGAGGGGTGTTTTCAGGTTGCTTTTGTGGCTCACAAACTGTTGAACAGGGGGTTTCTTGGTAACTCATTGCTGTAATAAATGGGCTTTTCCAATCACCCTGGTAGTCGTTTTTTTGAAAATCTGTAGTTGCAGCCTGAAAGCTGTTATCTTGTAGCACAGCAGGCTTCTCCTCATGGCTATTTTTCTGAAGGAATGCAGGATCTCTTGGGCATGTGTTTCCTTGTAAGACTGCTAAATTCCCTCGGTGTGGGATACTTTGTACTTTCAGACCCTGCTGTGAATGTGGAGCCACCAGTTCTTGATGATCCTTGCAATATGCTACGTCTTGTAGATTTTGAACTGTTTTAGAGGTTGATGCCACAAATAAGCCTCCAGACTGAACCTGGTGCTGCTGGAAAATTGGCTCGTATATATATATATATATAGTTTTTATTTAAACAATTAATAGAATTAATTCTTGAAGAATTATAGAATAAAAAGAATGTCAATAGCTTCACAAGACAAAAAAGTAAATAAGACAATACTAGTAAATGTTTATTTAAATATTGTGTTTTGTACATGTAAACACAGTTTTCACCAAATAACGTCATAAGATTTTTTAAAAGATCAAAATTGCTAAATGCTATAAATGGAAATTTGTAATTTACCTCAGTGTTTGTTGTATGAATATTATCTTTTTGATTGATGATGGAAGCTCTAGTTTGCTGGAAAAGTTTCTTCTTTTTGCTTTTCATTTGCCTTCTAGCATTTGCAAACCATGTCTTTACCTAAAATATGAAAGAACCATAGAGCAGCTTAAACTTGTGTATACTTGATGCACATTTCCACCACTTCAGAATGTTTTCAAACCTCTTCAAATGTTTAACTGCAAAACTTTCAAACAAAAAACATTAAGTAAATTAATGCTTTTGCCAATTTACATGTTCACCCATTTTGACAAACTTATCTACTTATCATTTTCCCATCCTACATTTACCAGATGTTAAAATTGCATTCTTTTAAACCCTCTTACAATACCTTATTCAAAAAATATTTAATTTCTTTTTTATGTCTCCCACCTTCCCCTATCTCCATATGATTAAAGTGACAAAGTGTATGATTTAAACAAGTGCATAAACCACCTGTTGTTCAAATTCTCTTAGGACAAGTAATACTTCTTGATCATATTCCAACAGGTCGGTGTCATCAATAAATGTTTAAAAAATTATATTTAACTCCTGTATATATTTGGATATATCTTTGAATAACTAAAGGTGTTTGACAGACAAAATGTTTTGATAAATCTAGGAAAAATTGCCATTTGTGTTTATTTATTTATTTTTTTTACATGCTAAGGCTGTGTTCACATGAAAAACCTATTTTCTAAAAATCTATTTGCGGTATCTTGTGATCACGGTCTGTGCCCTGAATACCCCGCAGCGTAATTACTGGCAGCGCCGAAAATTAATTACAGCTTTGGAAGTAACTGGCTCGCGCTGCCCGTAATTACGCCGTGGGGTATTCAGGGCACAGACCGTGATCACAAGATAACGCAAATAGATTTTTAGAAAATAGATTTTTCATGTGAAGGCAGCCTAAATGTCAATGAATGGCTGAAAATAACACAATAGATAATATCCTTGTTCCAAGTAAAATTGACTGTTGAGTTTGGAAACTAGCACCCCCCTAACACAAAAATAAAAAAAATTTAAAGGTATGGAAAGTGTAACAGACTTGACATATTCTTTTAATTTCTATTTTTTAAACATGTAAATATTAAAATATAACAAATAAAATGCTTCATTTGAGGAAAGAACATAGCTATAGTACAATTATAAACAAAGAATAACAAGATGTAAGTTGTATGCCTAACTTTTACCTGCAAAATGCTGATATTACATTGTTCAGCAAGAATAGCCACCTCTTCCTTTGAGGGGTATGGGAACGCCTTATGCTCAGCAAACCAACTTCTGAGGAGTATTTTAGATTCCACAGGTAACCCAGTGTTAATTTTGTAGTCTTCAGGGCATATATGTGAGGGTGGTCGGTTTCTGAAGAAATACATATCAAACAAGGAAAGCACTCTTGAGTGCACAGACCCAAAGCAGCTCAATTCTCAATATTTAATATTATTGACTTATTAACTAAATGATTTAATCATTAAATTTTAGTCTTTTATAATTAATGACCTCAATTCTTATCAATAATAGTGATGAACTAATATCAATTGAGTAACAAAAATTTCAGCAAAATCTGTCCACGACTTTTTGCATAATGTTGTTAACAGACCGACAGACAAAAAATTAACTAATGATTAACCATTAATTAATTAACCAATAGCATTAATCCTGGCAGAGGTAAAGACTGTACTTTTACTCTTGTCTCTGTTCGTTATTTTGAATAACATAATGAAGTTTCAGCGATTTTAACTTAAAACTGCCATGGTTTCTTTTCCTAACCGTCGGCCTAAAAGATTGAGTACACAAACACAATTAGTTAGTAAACAGTGGCGGGTCCAGGATTATTTGAAGGGGGTCGTGGATGCGACGCCGATCCCCACCCCCCTATTTTAGAGGGTGAACGGTGCCATTTGGTACGGTTTAGAACTATGATTTAGCTAGTCAAAATTGTAATTTCAAGAGGGGAATATTAGTGTGATTTTTTTCAGAAATCGAGGGGGAGGGGGTTCGGACTTACCTTTGGCGAATCCTGAAGCGTGTCACAGCTGACAAGGGTCGGCCGATTTCTAGTTCCTTCTCTGCGTAAAGTGATTGGAACCAAAGATTTAACGCTTCCTTGCGATCTGTTATTTTGCCCTCCTACAAGACAAATTTACACAAATCAAACTGAAAAAGAAATAGAAAAGTGCATTTTTGCTTTTATAAGATGATATTAATATGTTAATCAACATTACGAGTCAACCATTTGACTCTGATGGGTTCAGTATATTAACACTTATGCACGTGCCCCCACAAACTTACACACGGTTTTCGATGTTTATCTGTTTACAGTTATGAGGTTACTTTGATCAATGCCTCTGCTATTTAAATAAATCCATTTTGCCATTTACTTATTTTTTGATGTTCACCTCTGAAATGACTGCAACTCTCGTTTCATAAATATATATATATATATATATATATATATATATATATATATATATATATATATATATTTGAATAGACTTAAATATCTTAAATATTACAAGTCGTAGAATTAAATTTGCAAACTAATTTATTAGAATTACAGAAGTAAAGATCAAAATAA